AGATCACCATTGAATGGGGCAGAGGCTGAGAACCCGAAAAAGGTTCTAATTTTGATGAGTGACACCGGTGGGGGCCATCGAGCTTCTGCAGAAGCCATCAAGGCGGCTTTTCATGAAGAATTTGGCGATGATTACCAGGTAGTTTGTTTGATTGCTTGTTTGCGTTTCTTTATTGTATGTGTGGGTGTATTTAATGTATATGTGCTTCTTGTATATTATCTTCTTAATCAGGAGTTCATTTACAGGTGTTTGTTACTGATTTATGGTCTGATCATACGCCTTGGCCATTCAATCAACTTCCTCGGAGCTACAGTTTTTTGGTAAAACACGGGCCACTCTGGAAAATGACGTACTATGGAACTGCCCCACGTGTAGTGCATCAGTCTAACTTTGCTGCAACTTCAACATTCATAGCGCGGTGAGACTCTGCTTCCCTTTCAATAACAATTTTTGGTTTATTCTTTGTCTGGCTACTTCAATGTAAATAGAGCACCTTAATGCTGAATTTACATAACAATGATGATTCCCCTATCATCTTTTACAGCGAGGTTGCCAAAGGGCTAATGAAATATCAGCCAGATATTATAATCAGTGTACATCCGCTGATGCAACATGTTCCACTTCGTATATTGAGGGCAAAGGGTCTTTTAAAGAAGATTGTTTTTACCACAGTTGTCACAGATTTAAGCACGTGCCACCCTACATGGTCAGTTCTGCTGATTTCATATATTTGTTCAAGCACTACATGAATAGTTTGGTTGACGTCTTATTCATTGTATCTTGCTTCAGGTTTCATAAGCTCGTGACAAGATGCTATTGCCCGTCAACAGAAGTTGCAAAAAGAGCGCAGAGGGCTGGGCTCCAGCCATCTCAAATAAAGATTTATGGTCTACCTGTACGGCCTTCCTTTGTCAAGCCTGTTCGTCCAAAGGTTTGTTATGCTCTTATAGCTATATATCAATTTGGATGGCTGGTTCGTTTACAAGACTTGAGTTGGGGATCAATCTTTTGTTATATAGTATTGTGTACATTTTCCTGAACTAACCTTCATTTGATTGTCAAATGGATTGAGATGGGATGCCAGAATCATGCTGTTATAGTAATGAGTCATATAATTGAAGTTGCATTTGGCTTTAGAATTTTCTGGTCAGCTCAATTTCACCCAAGGCAATTGTTCAAAGGGATAAAACTATATTACTACAGCCTATACAGAAGGCCAATAATTTCTAGTAGTCTGCTGTACACACAATTCCTGATGATTGAAGCTACTTTGATGCATAAGCTGGCTTATATTTTGCCTAGTTAAAAATGTCTAGGTCAAGACAGTATATTCATTATCTTTCTTTTTAGCTCAACCTAAATAATCTTTTTCCTACATATGTTTTATTGTTGTGCAAACTCAATTCAACTACATTTCTATAGAACTGTGAACTCCTTTGAATATGCAGTCACAAGAATAGCTAATAGTTGCAATGTGGTTGTTAAATCGGGTCTCCCTAACCATCCTTAGCTCCTTTAATGCATGCTGCAGGGTGAACTAAGGAGGGAATTAGGCATGGATGAGGACCTGCCTGCTGTACTATTAATGGGAGGAGGAGAAGGCATGGGCCCTATTGAGGCTACTGCTCGGGCTCTTGGAGAATTGTTGTACGATGAGAATCTTGGGGGCCCGCTAGGTCAAATTCTTGTGATTTGTGGTCGCAACAAGAAGCTTGCTAACAAATTGCTCTCAATTAATTGGAAGGTTCCTGTGCAGGTATTGGTTCCTTTACAATCTTTCCTAAGCTTGCTTCTACTTTGTTAATCCCATGAATATTTGTGTCCATATGCTCATGCTTGCACTCTCTTCCTGCATCTCCCCTTGCTGGGTTTGTTTCTGCACAACACATGCTTAAAGATTTATTTGTCACCTATTTAATGTATGGTGAATGGTGATTTCAACTAATGTCTGTAAGTTAAATTTGCATAACATTATTCTTTGAAAGGAAAAACATTTTCTTGTACACATATAGGTGTATAATGATCTATCCTTACTGGGCAGATTTTTCGTTTTTCCTAAACATCACGTATTCTAGTTAGTATTTTTGAGGTTTTATTGGAATACAGGAACTAATAATGATTTTGTAAATTACGTGCATATGTCTGACATTTTCCTGGGGGAGAATATGTGTAGGGAAATGGAAGATATGTTAATGAAACTTTTAGTCTTTTAAGTTTGTTTCAGTTATTGATTTGGTCCTAAAGTTTAACCTTTATCAATCAAGTCTCTAAAATTTTAGAACTATACACAATTAGTTGTCATAGTTTTAAGGGGAAATAAAACCATAAGAACTAATTAAGTATGGCTATGAAACTTTATTGTAAAGATTAATCTTCAGAGACCAAATTGATAATTGAAATAAACTTGAGTGACTATAAGTTTTATTATCCAAAAAGTAATATTTAGGTAAGAAATGGCTTTTGCACGTCTAAAGAAAAAAAATAATTAAGAAAATATAGTTATTATTAAGTAAAAATTGCAGAGGTATAATAAATATTACATAACTTGATTGTGTACGAAGGAGTGCTTGGTCGACTAACTACTGGAAGAAAAATTCTTGTGAAGGATTCTGTTTTTTTTTTTTTTTGGCCAAGAGATTCCATATGTATTTTATCAAGGACTTGTCCAATTGACCCCGATTGGTCAGAGGCTTTTGGTTCTTTGATCATTGCCTTTTGCATTCAGCATGTATAATGTTCCAAAGTCACTCAGCTTAATCCGTGTTATTAATCTGCTTCAAATATAATTTTGTCTCCCCACATCTGGGTTTAAGGACTTCCAAGTCAATTTTCTGTCTGTAAATTGATGCTTTAGGTTGGTGGCATTTGATAAACGCAGCAAATATTCTATATGCATGTTGGTGTCCAAAGAAGCTGCTGATTTTCTTATCTTGTAAATATTTACCCCTGTTTAGGTCAAAGGATTTGTCACTAAAATGGAGGAATGCATGGGAGCTTGTGATTGCATCATTACAAAGGTAATGAGAATGACTCGTTTTTTCCTACTTCAATTTGACACAGCAAATAATTTTCATATATTTTCCCGCTTCTGCAGGCAGGACCAGGGACAATTGCAGAGGCCATGATTCGAGGCCTTCCCATAATTTTGAATGACTACATTGCTGGGCAGGTATTTTGCTTCTCAATATGTTTCATTAACCTTGGGAGTGCCTCAACTGTGTCAATTAGCCGAGCTGTAAATTTGAGTCCAAGTTTTGAAACTTCACTAGCTATTACTAGTGTAAGGACAAAACACAAAGTCCACATATTTGGTAAAGAGGATATATGTGGCTGCTGTCTACTGTAACGTAATTGACTGTAGTTTGGTAACGTACAGAACTAAATAGTGAGTCCACACTATTTGGCATGAAAGAACCAGAAACAGTAGTTGAGTGTAGTTTGGTTTGATTACAGGAAGCTGGGAACGTGCCCTATGTTGTTGAAAATGGATGTGGGAAGTTCTCCAAATCACCAAAGGAAATAGCAAATATAGTTTCTGAATGGTTTGGTCCAAAAGCTGATGAGCTGAAGTTGATGTCACAGAATGCACTGAGGCTAGCGAGACCAGATGCTGTGTTCAAAATCGTTCACGACCTGCACGAGCTTGTCAGACAAAGAAGTTTCCTGCCTCAGTACTCTTGTACAGCTTAACATTACAGTTAGGCTATTATTATCATTATTATTGTTTTTAAACTAGTTTTCTGGAAAGGAGATGTATAAGGCGGAGAAAATGCAGGATTACTCACTGGTCAAAATGCGTGTGTTTTCCTCCGCCATTGGCATGTATTGTTCGGGATTCTTGTTGCAAAATAATGCAGTTTTGGCTGTCTTCAACATGCCATTCTTTTGTTCTCTCATAAATTCAGCTCATCAGAGGCTTGCCTCACTATTCATCTATTATGAAGCATGGGGACGCTGACCCAGCAGTATCCTCTCCTCACACAAGTCTCTCTCCCCCACAACATACGAGATCTTGTAGAAGTGTTTTATCATTGTTATTTGCTTTTCAAGAATATCTTCAGTGGCTAGTTCTGTTTAGACTTAAGAGTTCGTCACCGCCTTTCTCATAAATTTTGTTCAGACTTCCTTTGACATTTCATATATTGTTCAATTGTTTGAACTAGTGTATTTGATCCAACGAAGATATTTTACTTGTTTTGATCCAAACTGGATAAGATAAACAGGAAGCATGAGAAGATTTTTAGCTTGAGAGCATGTTTTTTAATCAAAGGATAATTTGTGATTGTAGTCACGTTCCATAGTCACATGTCAAACTAAGTCTAGCATGTATGTGTACAAAGGAAGAGTGTTGATTTGTGTTGTCAGTTTATCTTCTCAAATGTCAAGGAGAAAAATACATTAAAAAAGTTTATTTTTGGAACATAGTTGGCTTGAATATCTTTTTAAAAATAGAAAGTGACGAGTGACATACGAAGGCTCCCTATCAGTGAATCCAAGGTATTTTCAACTGCCATAGTATATTATTTGCTTATAAATATTATTTTTCATATGAATGTATGAGATATATAAACTATAAAATGATAAGGTTTTTTTGTAAATTATACTTTTTCGTATAATTTTAAAAGTATTTCAGTATTATAAATTATAAGGTAACTTCCTAAAAATAAGATTTAGTTAATCATACTTTAAAGAATTGAAATGATTTTAATTTAATGATTAAATGTGTCAAATTAAAATTATATTAAATGAATAACATTTTTAGAATTTTACATTTTTATTTTAAAATAAGTTTATACAGTGCTATTGTTGAGATTTATTTAGTATGTATAATTTTATGTTAAAATTTTTTTATAGTTTGAAATGGAAGGGCAGTCTGAAACTGAAAAAACTACAATCACAGTTTGTAAATGACACATATATTAGATTAATATTGATATTTATTTATCTACATTGATATTCATGGGATTAACATTGTCGTCTAATTTTCATATTTATCTTTGCCATTCATGCTAAGGATTTAGGAAAATTGCGTGAAAAGCGTAGTCCGAGACGGCGAGGCTTGTTCCTGCAGTTCTGAGCAAATCTACTGATGGAGAAGGGAAAGGGAGTGATGGGAGGCGGGGGACGACGATGGGCCGTTGACTTCACCGACAGTTCTACTTCTCATTCTTCTCGTGACGTTCCGGATCCTCCCGGTTTCTCCCGTGCTTCCATAGACCAGGTTTTGTTCCTATCCCCCGGTGTTCTGACGCTGGATTCAAATTGATTTTCGGCTTACCTCTCTTTTCTTCTTCTTAATAGGATGATTCCTCCTTGAGTCGTCAAAAGAAGGACGCAGAATCCAACTGGAAAGCCCAGGTGCCATTATTTTTTGAACTTGTTTCAGTTTGGAATCATCATAATCTCTCGATTAAACTGTGTTTTATGAATCGAGTTTCCTTAATTTTTTGCATCGACGTTTGAGCAACTTTGTAAGTCAATAATTCTAAACTGCATACATCGTTAGTTTTGGTGTGCCTTTTTTTTTTTTTTGATGTGTTTAATATTCGGTCTAAGGTTATCTTATTTACTGTAGTTTTGAAGTCTATTTTCCTTTAAGGTGTTGTTGAGCATGTGTAGTAAAACAGTTGTGCTTTTTGTTCATCATCCACAAACTCTCTTCTTCGAAGATTTTATTGATTTGGGATCATGATGGTGCAAGCGTAATTACATACGTGACGAGGCATACTACTTCAGGCCTCCTTTAATTTGGTAATACTTTTGTAAAATGTTGGGCTAGTTTTATAGAGGAATGCTTATTGAAGTAATAAAATTGAGCAGACATTATGGAGAGTGTTTTAGCTTCATCCATAAAGTGTAATAATGTTTATATTTGCAGTGAAAAAAAAAAAAAGATTAGATTATGGAACTCATCAAAGCAAAGACAAAATAGATGCAAAATTTATGCCCCTCCCTTGAGAGACTATTTGGTCCCTGACGCCAATTTTCATTCATATTTCATACTTGTCGGCTATGCATGTATTGTTAGTCCTATATTCTGAATTGATAGCAGTCTGAAGTTCAGATCTTCAATATTTTCCTAACAGAAAGCTTGGGAAGTGGCACAAGCCCCATTTAAGAACTTATTGATGATGGGTTTCATGATGTGGATGGCTGGTAACACGGTTCACTTGTTTAGCATTGGTATCACTTTTTCAGCTCTTTGGCAACCAATAAGCGCATTACAAGGGGTTGGAAAGAGTAAGATGTTTTACTTTGTGCCCAAAAAATTTATAGAATGATAAGCCTCTATGACTTTGTCTTTAAATTGCTTTTTGTTTATGGTTTAAGTTTCAAATGTATATTCAATGGTTATAAATTAAATGCCACCTATTTAATATAAGGATTGATATTTGAGATACAAGAGTAGTTGTTATGTGACTCACAGTCAGTGTGAATATCTGATTCTGAGTTTCTGTTGTTCATGCCCCATGATATCACTATTTTGCTGTTGCAGTGTTGTGCATATTGCTAATTATGTGCAGAAATTTGCACTCAAGTTGCCATTGTCAATATCATCTCCATTGAGATTGAAAGTGTTTGCAGGCTAAGAATGGTTGTTGCTGAATTTTAGAGTTGTTGCATACTGCTAGTCGGTCAAGTTATTTATAAATCTACTGATGATTGAAACCATGTTGATTTTAGTATAATTGACCGTAGAGACCCCACTTCCATGCACCGGTGATAGATGATAGGAAATCGAGTGGATATTTTATTGATGCTCTAATGCCAGATCAACTTATGATCTGTTCCATCCCTTTAAACTTTATATTTCTGATCCTGCTTCTTGGACTTTTGGGACTTGCCATGTTACAGTGTGAAGTGGTGAGTCCAAACCCCATTATTGTTTTATTTTCATTAACTTTAGTTTAGTTGACTGTTTTGCTGTATTGACTAGCATTTCTGCTCCCAATTTGTAGCCTTCTAATGGTTTGTGATTTATGCTTTCTATGAAACATCTGCTGGATTAGCTTGTTTTGAGCTTATTGATGATATCTATAATTGATGCAGTTTTTGAGCCATACAAAGACAGTAAAGTGGATCTTCTTGGGCCTAAGTTGCTCTTCATAGCCCTTAATTTGGGGGGCTTGGCTCTTGGTGTTTGGAAGGTAATATATGTAGACTTGTTGTCCCTTAAAGTTTTCATCCCCTTCCTAGTAATTTTTTGGAGAAGCTGTATATAATCTTCTTAATCTCTAGCGTAAGCACCACTTTCGTTGACATCCCTCTAGAGTCTAGAGCATTGCAAAAATAGAAAAGTTTCTTCTAAAAGCAACGCGACTATCACATGATACTTTATGTTCCCATCTTCCTTTTGAACTTCCTCCCTTGCTTAAGATATGATGGGATAGTCACTTGGCTTTTAGAGGTTTCTTTTAACTCATATGTAATATCTTCCCTTTTTGTTATAGTGTAACTGCATAAAGAGATAAAATTTATATTTTAATGTTTGTGCACCAAAATAGTTCTTAGGCTACATTTCAAGGGGATTATATTTAGCTCTTTACCTAACTTTTCAGCGTGTTGTGTCTCAATGTTTTCTTCATGCAAATGATGTCAATATCTTGTTGTGCAGCTCAACACTCTAGGCCTTCTTCCTACACATGCATCAGACTGGGTCTCATCCTTACCACCTGCTCAGGTCAGATTTTCATGTTCACAAAGAATGTTAATTGTCTATCTCTTCTATTGAACTGATTTGAAAATACTTGTAGACCAAAACTTAAACCCTAAAAGTTAGAACCATTACGTTGCTGTCTCAAAAGCATTTGGGGGATGGGTAATTTAAATATTCTTTTCTTTAGATTGGGCTCAATTCCTTACCCTTCTAAATTTCAATTGATAAAGACATATTTTATTTTTCCTCTTGATAAGTTAGAGTGAACATGTTATCAAATTGTCAGCAAAATAATGAATTTTAGTGGGATGCTAGGATAAAGATGATGTTAAAGTTATGGCACCTATCTGAAGGTTCCTGTTGAGTTTCGGGTTATAATTATATTGTTTTACATCCATATATCTTGGGAAGATATAATCATGTTTCTCAATCATTTATCCCATGGTAAAACCAATTTGAAGTACTGAATTATCGCAAGGACGTCATCGGTGTTCTTGCTGTATGTTGCTTTTATCCATCCACAATCATCATAATTGAGAAATCCTCATAGATGCCTTGATATGGAGTAAGAGCAACCATCAAGGCTCCTTTTCATATCTTGCTAGCGTGTTTCAAAATAGGCATCCTGGTCAACCCGAGGCTGTGAAAGTTACCAGAGTATAATTAGGGTATTGCTTTGTGTAAGTAATCCTATGTTGAGATGAAATATATGAACAGGACATAAAGCTTACAAGACATGTTATACTTTTAACATGAGATTAGAATATGTATTTTTTGGACAATGAATTTTTTTAAATGACTAGGTGCAATGTAGCTAGGTCTAGTTGTTAGGTAGAGTAGAGACTGATACGTGCTTTTGCGTTTACTATGTCGCCTTTATAGATCATAGATATGGTTTGCTTTCTAATTTGTGGCAGATGGGCGATGTTGAATATATAACATTAACCGGTTACCCGCTCACCAACTTTCTCTTTTATTTTATTTTTTTCATTTAAGGACTGCATTAATGGTCCTATCATTTTCGTGACTTCTATGCTGTGAATATACCTTGCAGTTGCTTGTTTTTCTATTCTAACCCTGCTTTTGCTTTCATGATCAGGAGGTGGAGTATTCAGGAGGGGGTGTTAGTTTGGGTTGATTTGGATCTCGTGTTAAGTACGGTACTGTCTTTAAAGGGAATTTGATTAAAAGCATGATCAGAAGTCAGTGCTTATTGGTCCATTTGGCGTATTCTAATGGGCGATATGGACCATGAGACAGATTACTCCTGGTCTAGAAACAATATAACCAATTCTTGCTGTCCCCAAGACTTAACTGGTTTTGTATCCAACTGGAAGAGCTCTCGGTAACTCGCAGTTTAGTTTTGTTTTTGTTTTTTGTTTTTTATTTAAAGACGTTACCGGTGATGATTAGTGCCTTGCGGGTTATATTGTTTCATTATATCAAGAAACGTGAGTTATTCCGAAGTTAATTAACCATTCACTTAACTGTATGCCAACAATTGGCCGGGAAAAACAGGTTGTTTGCAGCAAGCATGCTTGATGAGGCGGTGCATGGCCTTCGGTTAGACATAAAATACTTTGACCATTCTCTTTTCTTTCATTAAAAAAAAAAAGATGAGCAAGTTAAAACGGTTCAACATTGAAATTGTTTTCAAGTCACGATTGCGCTCCTAGTCCTATCACGTCGGAAATGTTCGATCTTGTATTTATATTTGATTTCAATGCTTCGAAGGATTTTTTTTTCCTGTGGTTTGCTATGAACTAGGGAGAATGAGATTCCTAGCCAAGTAAAGTTGGGGGTAAACAACTCACATCCACATGAGTTTTTTCGTGGAGAACTTTAATTTTATTTAGTAATGGATCAAAATAGAGATTTCAAACAGTGTCAAGTCTTAACAACCTCGCGTATTCATTTTTTTTATTTTTTTGATGGAATATAATTTTGAATTAATTTGAATAGACAATTTGAACTTGAAGATTTTAAAAATTCTATTATAGTTTGAGATGTTTCAGGCATGAGCTCAGATAAAGTTCTTTTTCCTCAGCTCTGAAGCAAAGATAGTAACAATTTGTCCATGCCTAAACTAGAATTATATCTCCTTGTCTAGTAGCAAGTACTGGACATGAATAAAATATGCACATAGTAAAAATGATCTCCTCGTTGCGGTCCCTCGAGAGTCACTTTCATGTTAAAGTAAAATTTTATTGATGATAATTAATAATTTTGAAGAGTAGGCATTAAGTTCTCATTTTATTAAATTTAGGCGTTTAAGTGAATTTGTTTAAAAATCAATTAATTAACAAAGCAAAAGGTGGGGTTCTAACCGTTTGGGTTGGGCTTGTGAGGAGACACAGAATGGATTTGAAGTGAAATGAGATGACCTGAAGGATTGAACCAAAAAATAAATAAAAAGTAAAACAAATAAAAAGGGAAGAATGCTTGGTAAGCTGAAAACCAGACCATAAAAATCAGCTGAGTGTGGAGGTTGATTGTTGTCTTCCACCTCTGACCTTGCTCTTTCATCTCTCCGCTCCTCTTCCCTCATCAGCGCTGCTATACCTCAATGGACCTGACCCCTCAGCAGCTTAGCCAGTACAACGGCTCCGACCCATCTAAACCTATTTACGTCGCTGTCAAGGGCCGTGTCTTCGACGTCAGTGCTGGCAAATCCTTCTATGGCCCCGGCGGCCCTTACGCCATGTTCGCTGGCAAGGATGCCAGCCGCGCTTTGGCCAAGATGAGCAAAAACGACGAGGATGTCTTGCCCTCCCTCGATGGTCTCTCCGAGAAGGAGATCGGCGTTCTCAACGATTGGGAAAAGAAGTTCGAGGCTAAGTACCCTGTTGTTGGCCGTGTTTCCTTTTAATTCCCCGCCTCCGCATTTATTGTCATCTATGATTGTATCTTTATGTTTATTGTGCTCGTAGCCGTGTGAATTGGGGTTCTCTTGCTTCTGATTATCTGACTATTGTTCAAATCGGACTCTGTTTCTGCTCTTGAATGTAAGTACAATCGCTTATCAGTGCAATAATAAAACTCCATCTGGGTTATTCCACCGTGAGGAAAAAGGGGGGGTGTTTCTGTGCTATTTTGATGCTCATTGCGAGATGCTGATGGAAGAGTGAATTTTGAATTCGTTCGTAAAACCCGATTAGGGCATCCTGCGCTTGTGAGATTTAATTAAGATGCAGGAACGGGTTCAATACTAATATGCTCAAAACTATTCAATTATTAGGTTTCTTGTATCTGTACATCGTCTATCATGACGAAAAATGTGGTGCCTGGACGCACCGGAGAGATGAATGAACGGACGTGGAGAGGTGGTCAATTCAGAGATTCTCTTTCTCCACGCAGTTTCTATTCAATGGTCAAATGGCTGATCGATCAACAAAATTTCTGCTGACACTTTAGCTTTGAATCGCGATTAGACGATAAGGATGAGCGCAAGAGCGCCTCGCTAGATGCTCAAAAACTCTCACCCATGCTACATGGAGCCGCTATTTTGTTAGTCTAGCCCGTCCGACTTGCTTCAAAAATGGTAGGGCTTTAGATTTTTATTTTTTAAATTTTGGACTTATTCAACTCTCCAAATAAGCCTGAAAAAGTCAGGCTAAGTCGAAATCCAATAGGATTTTCTTAAGTATTCAAATTTTTTTTATTAATAAAATAAAATTAATATTTACTTTAGCTTTCACTTAATTAAGTAGATATGGCATGGGTGATAGTGATTTGGATCTTTTAAATATTATTTTAAGATTCGTTTTTTTAGATGTGTATGAAAAAGTATCATTTAATAGAGGATAATTTTTTAAATGATGTTTAGATTTTTCAAAAAATTAATCTTATGACTATTAATTATGGGTGTCTTAGGTAGCCGGAAAAAAAAAAAAACTTTCACTTATACTCCATATTTTCTTTCAATGTCTTAGCTTGAACATTTTGCACTCGTAAATAAAATTTTTAATATTTTAATAATTCTTTGTTTTATTTGACCAAAAAAGTAATTGTTTGTTTTAAATAATTTTTTAAATATAAGAAAAATAAACACAAGAGGCTATTTTTTGTGTTTTCATTTTTTTTTATTACTCACGTTTTCAAGCAATTATGTTGGAGGCACAATCAAATATTAAATGTTAGCATTTTTTTTAATAAAATTTTAATTTTAGTTCATCATGTTACGAGGGATCAGTTCTTTTTGCTAAATCTAACTTTATTGAGTTGTGTGTTTTCATTTTCTTTTTTCAATGCTTGATCTCAAAAAAAAGTGCATTGTAGTGTCATGTTGCTTGAAAAATCTTAATTTTTTAATTTAAAAATTTAAATTAGTTAAAAATAAAATAATTATTTAATAATAACTACAAAAGCCCTAAATGTTATAAGCTTCTTTTTATACACATATATATAAGTATTTTAAACCCAATTCAAATTGAGTCCAATGCAAATAAATCCACTTCACGCGAACTGCGGGTTCTACTATTATCCAAGGACAATGGCTCGTTAAGGATTTGACGTTGTTTTTACCTTTTTTTTTTTTTTGACTTTTATCCCTGCTGCAAATCAAATTCTAAACATAGGTCTGAATGCTCAATCTCAATGTCGTTTTCTCTGACGCAAATCGAAATCAAACGCGCGCTTTTTGCATTTAGATTTTACATGAAAGTTTACTCTCTATATGAGACAGCTGAATGAAAAAACATTGCAATGTACTCCCTTCCCTCTCTCTGTTTTTTGCTTGGTTTTGTTAACATAAAGTTCCATTTCCACTCCAAAAAAAAAAAAAATTGTACTCCCTCCTGCCCACCTTGTTATTATAAGATGTTGGAGATATTATTTTATGGAGATTAAAAAAGCCATTATATTATTTTAATTTGTTAAAAAGATTCCGATTTTTTGATTCTATTCTAATAAATTAAAGGGATATAATTATTTCCTGTTTTTGTAAAATATTTTAGAATTGGAATTATTCTTTATTTTTATCTTCCAAGTCCGATAGCGGCATCAACGGCAACTGCCCACGAAATTACAGCAATAAATAACAAGTAGTTCAGTGTCATGTCAGACGGAAAATGAAGGCACCACCTGTTCCCACATGAACTAGCCGGATGGTTTGGGAGTAAATATCAAAGTACAGCATCCATTTTGATGTAAAAAATAAAGGGGAATGACTGCCTTTAAAAAAAACAAATAAATAATAAATATGTTTTTTTTGCAATTTTTTTTAAATGAGTTATACATATCAACTTAAATAATTACAAATTTAAGAATCTTATTTATAAATAAAACATTTCAATTTTAAATGAAACTTTTAATTTACAATTGAAATTTTTATTTGTAATTGTTTAAATCAATATTTGTAGCTTATTTTTGAATTTTTTTTAAATTTAATTATCATTGATTTAATTTTTTAAGTTTAAATGTCCATTTCTTATCAGAATAAAAATAATGATGATGATGAAAGCAGCATATCAGACTAGAAGGATATCTGAAGCGCTGCCTTCAACTTCGTTGCAGAATTTAGACAAAATTCCACAATGAAGTTGAAGGCAGCAGGAATGATTAAAGGGCATCAGCAATTACCGTCATGGACTCATGGTTTAACTTTATTTGGTCCCCCAACTTGTATTCAGCTTTTACAGATATAATCCACACAACCAAGAACTTTAGAAATCCATACACTTACATTTTTATGATCATCCGCAAGACTGTCAAGTAATCCTCTTACTTTACCCTTTTATGATCATCTGCAAGACAGTTAACTGATTTGAATTCATTCCTATGGACATGTTTGCTAAGATTTTGTCAAATGGTAATTGTCAAATGTTGCTGAGAGTGGTGTGTATAAAATGTGTAAACGCCTACAACGGTGATTGAAAAGGTTTACGATCAAGTAGCAGCACTGCGGCAGACCACCGAACCGCACCATTGCCTATACCTGCTACCTGCGATAGACACCTGCAATAGATAGAGTAATACACAACAATAACGATCATTCTGAAAATAGATGAATCATGATCACTAAAAAGATAAAATGATGATAAAAGAATTAAGAGATTAAATTAATAGGTCCTACCAAAGCATCTTTAATTCTACAGTGTCACTATCGCTAAATATCATCATTACCTTGATGAGCCTTTGACTCAAAGAAGAGTCTTACAGTTGCAAAAATGGTAGAAGTTTCAGCCATTGCGCCGTTCCCATAATTCCCACATGCCAACCTCTTCGGAACAGGTGGAATGAGATTAATGCCAAGTTCATCAATGGCCATGATATGTCGCTCGGTGAAAGGATTAGTCCACATTAAACTGTTCATGGCTGGTGCAACAAAGACGGGTTTGCTGTAATCCCATGCTCTTACAATACATGTCAGTAGATTGTCACACAATCCTCCGGCAATCTACAACAGCAGTTGTTAAGGTTAAAAGATTAAGGGACAGAAAAGTGGCAGTTTTTACTTAGTAATTGAATGTGCACACAGCGATTACAAAATATCATGTGAACTCGAAAAACAAACATATACATTCATGAATAGGAACCAACATAGCATCCTGCAATTGGTCAATTTTAGCCTAAGGCAGGTCAGCTTGTTTAACGTGCAAAAACTATAGAGACCAATAATTATGTGATCCTTTTTGGATTTTTTACAATGTAGAGACACAAATTTGACAAGATTTCCTTGTCTGATTACCTTGCCTAGAGTATTTGCTGATAATGGAGCAATGACCATGACATCAGCCCATCGACCTAGCTCAATGTGAAGCACAGGATCACCTAGTTTATTCCAATTATACCATTCATCCTCATCCGTATATAAGATCACATCCTTGGGAATCGCTGTTCTATCAATGAAATGCAAAGATGCTCTTGTGGCAACTCCTTTCACTTCTCCCCATTCTGAAAAACAATGAGAGAGATTTGCAAACTTTATAGCTGCAACACTTCCACTTGCAGCAAGAAGGATCCGAGGCTTCCTTAAGCCACCAGCATTTACTAGAACAGACCCTCCTGAATTCAGAGGCTCTGAAGAGGCCATCAAACAGATTTCAATCGATTCTTCAGTATTTAGGATCAAAAACAGGAGTGTCAGCTTTCGTTAGACCTTCAACCAAGAGGGTGGAATCCCGTTAGAGGGTAAAATAAAATGAAGTTAGCTGAAAGCTTGCGGTACTTGAAATACTGAATGCACAAGTATAAATTCCTAGGATATACAGAACTCTGAAGACAAGATATTGCCGTCCCACACCAAGAATTTGTTAGGATATATTTCAAGGGGACAATATCAATATCCACCTCAGTGCAACATATCAAATTCCCGTATTCACAGGTTCATACATACTTAGAATAAGAGCTTCAATTATCACATTCACTGTTAGGTATATCCAGAACATGAAACCCCAGGAATTTCGGAGCTGTGGGCATCAGGAGTGCAGTGAGGTGGATACTATGTTTTTATGACGTCAACCAGATAAGAAAATCAATATATGACAAATATACAAATGAAGGCAAAAAAAATCCACCTTCGTTTCTCCAAAAATGCTAAAAGTAGTCCATTTGTCAAGAATAATGCAAAATACCAGCATCATTGACTGATTCATCCACGTATAGAGCAAAAGCTTTAATCATCTGACATTGACTGCTATGTTAAACATGAACATAAACCACCAGGAATTACAGACCTAAGATCATGATGACAAAGAGAATCGCTAAGCAAATGGAGAGCATATATACAGGAAACACCACTTCAAGATTAAGGTAGGAAAACCCACCCACGTGCAATCATAGTCACAGCTTCACAAATGACAATAATGCAAACACAAGCATATTTGTCAGGAACAATGGAACATTGTTTTGTAAAGAAAAAAGAATATTACGTATTAGAGAATTTTCCCCAGGGTTACTCCTATTAATTGGGAATTTTGAAACAAACGTTCATGCTCTCTAGGGATTTTATCAAACAAAAGGACAGCATTTATCCTCTTTACGTCAAGACTAGATAATGTCAGTGTAACAATGTCCTGAACCATGGCACTAATTACAAGTTCTAGCAGAGGATGGAGAGGAGGAAAAGAAGAAAAATGTCGCACCGAACTGAATGAAACCAACTATTCTGAAAGATCTACCAAGAATCGCCCAAGACACAGATTAAATTCGCAGTTGAAGTGATATGCGAGTCAAGATCATGTGTGATAACGCGATCATTCCTTACGAACTTAAACGGACAACTATAGGAAAAAAAGTGATACAAAAGAGGACTCTCGTTAAAAAGAGAAGCGATCTCACCATCCGAGTTTATCTGGTACTCTTTTGCTAGTATGGTCTACTACTCAAATCTAAGAATTTCGCCCACAATTGAAACAACTTAAGAACAAGCTCTTCAGAGAAAATGCAGAAGCACCAACAAATCGCAGCTCGAGACTTGAGAGGTTTAAATGACAAATTGGCGCTTTCAACTTCAAGAGTCGCCGCTGAGATTGCCATGAAAAAGAAACGATTTGTCTCCCCACAAATTCTCCGGAACATTTCCTATTCCAATAATTGGGCCTATATACCAAACAGCTCATATTATACAGAGAAGAGGCCCAATAACTCGCCTGATGTCGAAGACCAAGAAAAATAAAATAACAGCTAATCACCGACTACGATCTACGGCGGTAATTAAATTACAGCGTTTCAGATTTCATTTTCTCCAGAACTTCTGTTCCGTCTTCAGGAAATTTGTACACGACCAGTATATCAGTAAAATTGCACACCACCCACTGCTTTAACCTTAAATGAAAAATATCAAATTATATTTTCTCCATTCCATTCATATATTCATATATTCGAAAAGAATATAAGATAAGAAAATATAAATATAACATTCACATTTCTTAATAAATTCACTTGTGGCGTGAATACTGAATGCAGAAAATTCGAGGAAATGCCCGTAGTAATCCTTCAATTTCAGTTTAAAGGTGAAGACATTATTATACAGGATATATTTTTAATTTATAATAAGTTATAATTTTATACTCTTTTTATCACCAATTTATAATTTTATACTTTAAGATAATCAATTAATATAATTATAGAAATTCAAACAACAATGTAAAAATGGTTAGGAAAAAACCACATTGTAAAAATGCACATTAATAATTAAACATCATCAATAAAAATTATAAAATACATGTCTAGTTTATGCTTTACTATATGCTACTATTATGGGTCATTTTAATTGCTTCGTGCATTTAAAAAAAAATTAATGCTTTTATATTAAAAAAAACTCATATATTTACTCTTATATATTAAATGTATTTGTATCAAATTATATCAAAATATGTGAATCTTTTATATATATTTTTTTATAATAATTTTTTGTTGTTGATTAAATTAATACATTAAGATTCATATATCATAATTTAATTGAATATAAATATATTAAATATATAAAATTAAGTATATAAATTTTTTTCTTTATATTATTAAAAAAGGATATATTTTTTATTCTTAATCTTAATTTTAAATTATAATATAATTACTCTATGAGGTATTTTTTATTTTGAATTAAAAATTATTTTTAAAAAAATTCGCACGAACGAGGGAGTATGTCATACGAGTCGGTTCCTTTTTATTTTTTTGGTTTTCTCCTTTTCTCTTTTTGACAGAACGATGGAAGATTAAAAAGCCTAGAACCTGTTCGTCGATGTTGGATCTCCTCTCCAGAGTCTGATGGTCAGATAAAGCGTGAAGTTTGGGTGTTTCATCTCCTTCGTCAAGAAAACGACCAATAACTAATCTAAATCGATTTCCTTTGACCTTTCATTTCTTGGATACAGTGTCAAATAATTTCTTGTGTTAGTTATTCGCTTTCTTTTTTTGATCATATCGCTGAAAGATACCCAAATACCGTCCGTTTCTGCGATAATTATATTCCTATTATCCGTTTTTAGCATTCGATTAAGCTCCATCTATGTTCCAAACAAACCCTACTACATACGCAAATCCAGAATCTTGCCAGCATCTTGCTGATCATAAGCTCAAACACGGCTTAAATGGCTACAAAGCCATCCAGAAGTTCCTCGTTACCTCCCCAGCTGGAAAGTGTAGCGTCAAGAAACCCAATACGAAGATACCTAGGTGCGATAACTGTAATGGCTATGAAGGTAGACTCTATATTTGTTTGATTTGCTCTTCAGTCGCTTGTCTGGATCATATACTCACGCATCCCCAATCCGAGCTTGGCCATAGCATGTTCATAGACATTGCAAGGGCAGAGCTCTATTGTGCACCATGCCGTGATCAAATGTATGATCCTGATTTCGATCAACTTGTGATGTTTAAGCACTTAGTGGGTATGCCAAACAGTGATTATGGAAATGAAAGTATTGGACAAAGATTGACCAAAAGGAGGAGATTGGCTTCAGGCATTGGACCATTGGATCTGAAGAAATCTAAATGTGGCGTTCCTATGAGCGATCGGAGGGATAAATCTTGTTATCCGCTGGGTTTGAGGGGATTGAATAATTTGGGAAGCACTTGCTTCATGAATTCGGTGTTGCAGGCATTGCTTCATGCTCCTCCTTTCAGCAATTATATACTGAGTGGTGGGCATCGTCCTGAATCTTGTCAGAAAATAGCCACCGACCGGCTATGTTTGCTTTGTGATGTTCATGCGATGTTTTCAGCCATGTTTTCGGGCGATCGAACTCCATATAGCCCCGCTCAGTTTCTCTACAGGTCTGCAACTGTTCTGTCTTTGACCTCGTTAATTTCAGCCAATTTCGTGGCTGGATAGGCTTTAATGTCATAAATATAATGGTTGACACATATTTATCAGTCGGATCTATTCTGCTTCAGTTTTCGTGGGACATTATTTGCTCGCTGTTGCTTTTAAATCCTCCCGATAAAAACTGCTTCATTAGTCAAGCTTTTTAAGGGTCGACCTGATGCTTTTTCGTACCATAAGTTTGAGGTTGATTATTTTCTTTCATATAGCTAGCTGCAAATTTTTGGAAGCATCTTCAATTCAAAACTAAAACATGATTGTCTTTGGATGTGTCATGTTGCTTTGATGCTCAAAAAGCTCATTTTTCCTGTCCTGTAGTTGCTGAAACGTTTTGTTTTTGTTTCAAGCTGGTGGCAGCATTCAGAAAATTTTGCAAGTTATGAACAGCAGGATGCCCATGAGTTTTTCATTTCGATTTTGGATATGATTCATCAGAGAGAGGGCAAAACAACAAACAAGAGCAGAGGTACTTATATTCTGATATTAGATGTTTACCTGCGTATTCGTTCTCTCACATGCTTGATTTTAGAATGGAATATTCGGTTCTTCGTGTCTCCAATGTGTAATAAACATATATGATCTGCGGCTGGGGGATTCAGTCTGGGCATGCACTGATTGTAGGATTGTTGGGGTATCTCATGTTAGAATAGCCGGGAGAAAATATAATTGTGAAAGGTGATTGTATATACACTTTTTCAGCCAAGTTTGAAAATACTTTTGTGTGAAGGACTTTGAGTACTGAAAATAATGTTACCACTAAATAAGAAAATGATTAGTCTTGTCAGCATCTCTTGGTTATTATGTTTTGCCCCAATTGATGGTGCCGGCTATTGTTTCCGCAGATAATGCAGATTGCCAATGTATTGCACATCGGGTGTTCTCTGGGTTGTTGAGATCTGATGTTACCTGTATGGTCTGTGGATTCACCTCAACAACCTATGACCCTTGTCTGGATATTTCACTTGACTTGGATAATGTCAGCCGCTCTTTAGCAGAAAAGGGTACGAAGCTTACCAAAAGGAATGATGATAGCAGTATGTCAACACTCCAGGGCTGCCTAGATTTGTTCACAAGGCCAGAGAAGTTGGGTTCTGACCAGAAATTTTACTGTCAGAACTGTCAGGAAAAGCAGGACTCGTTGAAGCAAATGTCCATAAGAAAGCTTCCGCTGGTTCTTTGCTTTCACGTGAAGCGGTTTCAACACTCCTTTGTCCAAAGAATTACAAGGAAAGTAGATCGCTACATGCACTATCCATTTTCTTTAGACATGACCCCGTACTTGTCATCTTCAATCATGAGAAGTAGATTTGGCAATAGGATTTTTGCTTTTGGAGGTGAAGACTCTGATGCTTTGTCTCAGTTTGAGGTTTTCGCAGTGGTCACCCATTCAGGGACGCTTGAATCTGGTCATTATGTTTCTTATGTACGTTTGAGAGAGCAATGGTACAAATGTGATGATGCTTGGATAATTGAGGTCGAGGAGGCTGTGGTCAGAGCTTCCCAGTGTTACATGATATTCTATATGCAGAAAAACGCTTTACAATAAGGCATATGAGGATTTGAGCCAGCTCCAATGTCCCTGGAAGAGACATATTTGTTCCCAAGGGAATGTGTCTTCATCGATGGCCAGCTTGATGCTTACTGAGAGCAGAATTGTTTTCTGTATGATTGCCCGTTGGGTAGGACTATCAGTCTATCACGATTCAATGCTAGCAACAGCTGTATTAGGAACATGCATCGTCAGACTGACAAAAAGTTGGTCATGGAAATCAGATCCCTGGTTGCTAATTTGACTGTGATGGAATATTTTTTCCGAGGTTATTTCGTCATATTGACAAAAAGATCCGTGAGAGAGGGAGAGTGAAGCATGTAACTTCCAATATGCTTACTCAAATTCTTTGAATGCAGGTTACTCGTGTACAAAATGACTCGTTGCATCTGATTTTTATGAACATTGTTCGCTCCACATAAAAGTGGGGAGGAGGAAAGAAAACTGACAGCAAAATATTGATTTGAGTAATTGTCTCTATTCTCTCTAAACTTTCTAAATCACACTCAATTGTCTCCTTTTCCTTGTTTCTTTCTTCTCTCTCTGCTTTGTTCCTTAAAAAAAAAAAAAAGTTAAACTTCACGATGGTTTGATATTTTGTAAAAGCTTTGTTGAAATATTAAAATTGAAGTAAATAAATATAGATAATTAAAATTTGAAATTTTGTGGAGATAAAAAAAAATGAGAGAAGTTGAGAAAAGTCAAGTTGATATGGAATTGCAGCGTTATGTAACATATGTTTACCTTTTAATTTTAAGGATGTGCTTGGTTGGATGGGAGGAGGGAAGGGAAAATTTTAAAGAGGAGGAGAGCTCCCCTTTTTTTTCCCTTTTCCTCCTCCTCTCCCCACCCTTTGAACTAAATAGACCCTAAGTAAAATTGGGTAAGAATAGCATATGATCCAACTTATTTCACCACTTCTGAAATTTAATCTAGGATTGAGAAGTAGGGAGCTGAGTGACTTTTTTTTTTTTTTGTTCATGGGTATTCTCCAATTATAAACTAGTAAGATCAATATTACTTTTATTTTCTGTAGTTTGCTTGGCTGATGACAACTTGTATGTCCTATAATAATTAAAGATGGCCTAATTGATTCAGAACTCAAGTCAAGAATCTTTGTGATTAAATAATATAAAACCAGAGATTCTTTGTTAATTATACATGTGCGATGTTGTCTGAACTGAGTCTGCTCGAGCGCTTATTATAACACTTACACGTGCCTAAAGGACAACATGAACATCTGCATCAATAGAATTTTGGTGAGGAAGGTCAGATTTATAATATTAAACATGTAATTAAAAACTATAGCGGATAGCCAAGTTAGTTGAAGCGCCTGTGCAAATTGCCACTTTATTTAATTCATCTGATTTAATTTATTTTAGCGTGCTAATTGGAGATCTTGTTGGATTAAATACCCCTGCCCGTAATCTAATAACGTCGGCACTGCAAGCTATAGATAAACTATAAATCGTAATTTTTATCCCAGGAAAAAAACCTGCAACTCTGGTTTTTTTTTTCTTCCAGTTTTTTCATTCATTTAACACTTATAATTTGCTACCACCAAAAAGAATGTAATTTAAAAAGTAAGTACCACTTTAGCACACGGGTAAGCAGATGTGAACATGATCCTTTTTGTTGTTGTTGTTGTTGTTGTCTGTTGACATGTTTTCTAAATGGTGGATAACATCACCACTAACTTGATCGACTATAAATGAGTTTAAACATCGAGTTTTAAGAACGATTTAATTGTGAACATTCTGAGTCACTCAAGACTAAGCCAGGTGGAAAGGGCAAGATTAAAAGCCTGTGACCCGGACCACTGTCAAGCACGGTTCCGTCCAAATAACTGAGGGACTTGTTGTGACAGGCCGGGTCGGGTTGTGTCTTTACAAGGAAATCTCCTCTGGAGTTGGGCGACCTGATTCATTAAGAAGCTTCCTTCGTTGGCGTTACAATGGGCTCGCAGTTTCTTACTTTGTCTTTACCCTGGCTGGATTACTTAGTTTCACCCCAAAAGAGGAAGAGGAATAAAATAAATTCAGACAGTGACCCCGTTTAAACTCTTCGTACATGATTTTAAAAAGTTGCAAACATTGAATTTTTAATAAATTTAATTATTTTTGTATAAGTAAAATCTATTCTTTAAATCCAAAATTAAGAAAAATCTGAATTTTTTTTTTGGCCAAAAGAAAAATCTGAATTAGAACGATCAACAGGATTAGATCAGATGACACCATATTCCTATTTGCCATTCGTATGTGTACGCGCGTGACGCACACCGGATATAGCTGTAAACATTGGAGACGGAATAGCATACAAGCTGGTTGGCCCAAAAAAAAAAAAACAAAAGAAATAGCATACAAGTTTGTACGAAGCATCCACGTGCTCATCTCTGATTGGATGAAATCTGTGCACTTCGCACTCCAAGAACTTTTGCATTGACCCTTCGATCTCCGTTTTCAGACATAGTAGCCCTTTCTCTCTCTTGGTGTGACTATAGAGCCAACAACATCTTACCCACCGGGTCCCACACTTCCCCTACACCAATCCCCTTAAGACTTAAAACTCTCCTTATCTCGTAGTATAGTTTATCTTTTTCCTCCTCTTTTATTACCACTTTCACAGCTTCGAGTATTACAAATTTGCTACAAAAATATATTATACATTATAAACCTTTAAAGTAAAACCTGACCTTCCATGTATAGTTTGATGCAGAAATTGGTTTTTTTCACTGAAGAGTTCAAGAATAGCTGGTTTAGATATTGTAATTGTAAATCCAGGGTAATTTGCGGCAGTGGCAATTGATGAAGTCTCCGGTTTGATTAGTCAAACATGAGAAATCACGCTGCAGAAGCCACTGGGTAACCATTTTACCACCATTGGATGCAATGCGGAGTTTACAGTAGATTGCTTGCAGATTCACGGTCAGGGGGTTTCAAAACGGTAACAAAATTAATCTCAAATCATCAAAGGCGGTTCATTCATACATTGTCATACTGAATCTCCCCTCTCCTTTTTTTTTTTTCTCTTCCTATGTTCCCCTCGTTTTTTCATTTTCTTCTCCTGCTCCCTGTGGGTCAACGTTTTCTTTTCGAGATCTCTTCATCTCTTTGAGGCACAGTGATTGAAGACTGAAGCCATTATGGTAGGATTCCAGACCTGGAGGGCTCGTGTTTGAGGAAAATATGAAGTAGAAAAATACGCCTTCTCTGAGGATTTTCCTGAATTGGGTTTCGATTCTTTGTTGCGTCCTTCCCTCCACCAGAAGTTTGAAGATGCAGGAGGATGAAAATCTTGAAGATCCTTCCGGTGAAGAAGCTGGGGAAGAGGATGGACACAGGAGGGGGGTTTGTGAGTGTGTCTGCATCCCCGTGCATTGGTTTAAAATGCTTTCGAGGGAATTGCATTGGAGTTTTGTATTCGGTGTCGTCGTTGTGTATGGAATAAGTCAGGGACTAGGTGGAGCTCTCTCGATCGTTGGAACAAAGTACTATATGAAAGATGTTCAGAAGGTCCAGCCATCTGAAGCACAGGTTTATGCCGGAATCACATCCATTCCTTGGATTGTCAAGCCTCTTTGGGGTCTTCTCACTGATGTTCTCCCAATTTTTGGATACCGCAGGCGACCTTACTTCGTATTTGCTGGTATATATATTATAGATTATGCACGTCTTCTCTCATTTTGCAATGTTCCTGAATCTTAGATCTCAGGATAATAGATTAGTCCATGCTTATAAGGGAATTTTAGATTATTTGCTTATTATTTTGTTGGAGCTGCACTTCTCTACTAGATATTTGCTTAAAACATTATCAGTTTAAATGAAATTTATTAAAGTTAATCTGAGGCTGGTAGGCTAAAAGTGGCAATGTTGGGGGCATAGAATTACTATTGGGATCGTTGACGATAGGCAATAGAGCAGTAACGGATGCAACGACAAGGCAAGTTGCATTCCGATTCGGTGGAAAAGGAAATAGATATATAACGTGGCGTTTTCAGTGGTTTTCTTTTCATTTATAGATTAGCTAATTAATGAATTGGGACAATAGCAATAATATCACAATTTCAGGTCTGGCATAACTGAAAGCAGGGGCAAAATGGGATAATGTCTCTCAGTTGGATCACTGATGGAGTTCTATATCGGTGTAGCCGCAAGTAATTCATTTCGATGGTACCTAATAGTGTGGTTCTTTTCTCTTACATGTCCATTTCTTAAGATCGTGTTTCCCTCGCTTGCTTAGGTCTCCTTTAGTCGCAACTCAGAAACTTTGTGCTTCCTTAGACATCATGGAACATGTGTCCGGATGCTTGATATGGGATTCTGTCACATGGTATACTCTATGCTGTCGTGTAATGCAGCTTCAATTCATAAGCACCTTATTAAGGGAGCTACTGATGACCTTAGGTCCAAGGGCATACTCTTCTCTTAAAGAACTAAGTGGGAAAACTGGGTGCATTTGTGTAAGAAGCTTACTTGTACACTCGGACCCGTTTCCTATCTTCAATTCATTATGAGCATTTTTTAAATTGAGACTTGCCTGGAGAATTGTAGGGAAACCGTCTGAAGCACTTGCTTCCATCTGCTTTTTTGTGTTTTAAAATTAAATTAACTAACTACTCCCTCTATTTCTATTTATAAGAGAAACTAATGCTTTTTGCTTGTTTTTTTATATAAACAAAATCATATATTTCAATAAGCATTTATTAAGCATTTTTTAAATTACCCTTCATAATTTATATCAATAAAAAATAATTAATACATGCTTATGTTGATTAACATAAAGCATTTTAATTCAATTTTTTTGTTTTCAGACATAATTACTATGGTTAACTAATTTTCTTAAACTGTGTGATAAGTTTTTTTCTTTTATATATAGAAACAGAGGGATTACTTGTGTATTTGATATCTTTAATCGAGAATTGAGCCTTATAGGCTTGTAGCTCTTATGAAGATAAATGCACAGTGTTATAAAGAAAGAATGTGTATAGGAACTACTCTTTAGACAGCATTCAAAGGCTTATTATCAGAACAATGTAAGCACGTCTGCGCTATTAAGTGTCTTATTGATTATTTGACAAATTAATAATGCCTCCAAGAATGGCTCGAGTAACATAGAAACTGCTTCATTTGAGACAATATAGTCTGTCTTACAGCTCCTCTGTTTGGATCCTGCAGGTTGCTTAGGGGTGATCTCTATGCTCCTGTTATCTTTGCACAAGAACCTGCATCTTGTTTTGGCTCTTTTGTCATTGACAGCTGGAAGTGCTGGGGCGGCTATAGCTGATGTTACAATTGATGCCTGTGTGGCACAGAATAGTATCTCTCATCCTTCTCTTGCTCCTGACATGCAAAGCTTATGTGCCTTCAGCTCTTCTATTGGCGCACTATTGGGATTCTCCATCAGTGGCATCTTTGTTCACCTTATAGGCCCTATGGTTCGCCTTTCGAAACTGATCTTTATCTTTTTTCAATATTCTCTGCGCTGAGTTGTATCTAAGCTGAAAATCTTTTCCTCTCTTGCAGGGAGTGTTTGGTTTGATGACAATCCCAGCAGGACTAGTTGTTTCGGTTGGATTTGTACTTGATGAGCCTCGTATTCCCGACTTTGCATACCGACAGGTATAATCAATGCTTGTTATTTCTGTATTCATAATACATGCGTAAGTTGATGTTTGATCTTCCATGTATCGTGTTTAGGTCAACCAAAAGTTTGTTGATGCTGGAAAATCTATGTGGACAACATTAAAGAGTGAAGATGTATGGAGGCCTTGTTTATACATGTATTTATCTTTTGCTTTGAGCTTAAATATCTACGAAGGAATGTTCTATTGGTACACGGACTCAAAGGATGGACCATCTTTCTCTCAGGTATTTTGTTGCGCGGAGATTCATGTTATGGTTAGGATATATTTTTATGTAGATGGGAAGTGTCATGGTTTCATGGTTTCTCCAAGGTGACTATGACATATTGGCGTCCAATCTAATGTCTACTGTTGTCATGACCAGCGCCTGTGAAGCTGAGATGCATATTCCTATCCCAGAGGACCATGGGATTCATTTTTATATTAAACGTAATTGGTTCCCTAAGAAGAGAACAGAATGTAAGAAGAAAAAATTGTCACAGGTTATTTCTCCAATTGATCAAAAGATCCATATCCTTAACCAATACCTTTTTTCTATCTGATTTGGGCAAAATAATGCAGATTGCTGATGTTAATCTCGTAGGGTAACTGAGATCTTGAATCTTTGTCATTCTAAGTCATTTGTGCCTCTGCTTTGGTATGATTAGAGTATCCGTGTCTCTTGTAGTGTTAGAGTTGTTATTCTTGGAACCTTGTTCCGTATGAGACTTCATTGCATGAAATGTCACTAACCTTTGCTGTTCACCTTGCTTATACAGGAGACTGTTGGTTTTATGTATTCAATTGGTTCTGCGGGCTCCCTACTCGGCGCAATACTATACCAATATGCTCTGAAGGATTATGCATTTCGAGACCTGCTCTTCTGGACTCAGCTGTTTTATGGTTTGTCAGGCATGTTAGATTTGATTCTGATCTTGCGGTTGAACTTGAAATTCGGCATACCGGATTATTTCTTCGTCATCATTGTTGAAAGTGTAGCTCAAATGACTTATAGACTCAAGTGGATGCCTATGCTTGTGCTCAGCTCAAAGCTTTGTCCCTCAGGAATTGAAGGCACATTCTTTGCTCTGCTTATGTCAATTGATAATGCCGGGCTTCTCTCATCCTCATGGGGAGGAGGTTTCTTACTCCACATTCTCAAGATTACACGAACACGGTTTGATAATCTCTGGTTAGCTACTTTGATCCGTAACATATTGAGAATTACTCCTCTTTGCCTGCTATTTTTGGTACCAAGGGCTGATCCCAACTCGTCCATTCTTCCTAGTGAAAGCTCAAGTACAAAAGAGCATCTTGAAACTTCAGAACCCGAGAATATTGAATTGGTCTCCCTCGTAAACAGCGTTGATGGCAGGTAGCCATGCATAGAACATTCTGAATTTTTGTATACATGAAAACTAGCAAGCATATTATTGCTTGATAGTTGATATTATGCAGGGATGTGGAATGAAATTGAGGAAAGCTGTAGAGTGGTGCTTTTGATGTGTGTTTCTTCCGTTTCCCTCTTAATTATGTTACGTCTCATATCCAACATCCCAAGCAACATAATTCAGTTTGTCAAAGAGTAAAAATAGAAGAGGCCTAAGCCGTATATGGACTTGCGTCTCAATCTCATATCCAACATTGATCTTAACCTTTAGATCAATGTTTGACTGGTTAGGAATTAACGTTTTATATAATTTAATTTTTTTTTTGTTTCTTAATTACAGTCTTAAATCTTGAATTGTAGTTTAGATCAAATTTGTTGTGTTTTAAAGTTATTTATTTATTATAATTTCACATTGTAATAATAATTTTTGAAATACTAAATACTAACAATTCAAAATTTAATTTAAGGATTGAGATGTAAAGTGGAGAGAAAATAAATGGGAAGAATATAGAAGTTGAGTCTTGCATTTATGTGTCAAGGATGAGGAATTATCATATAAATATTTTGAATTTGCCTAATAGCTTATCTTGATCATAATCTTTTTCTCACTGAATTGTAAAGACAAGAGTTTGTGGATCGATTATTGCGTTAAGCTCATACGTGCGTGTCTAAATATAAAACAATATAAAAGAAGTCAACCAAAATTAGGGTTGCTACTGGTCAAGTTGGGCTAGGCACCATCCTTGCTAGTGCTCTGCCTTGATGTGCAATTCGGGCAAGTTTAGTGTCTGAATAATCAGGCTGGGTTTGGTCAAACTCAAAAGGATTATTTTAAAATTAAAAAAATTAAATGATCCTAAAAAAATAAAAAATACTTTTATCTTTCAATTTTTAACATTATTATCATTTAAGATATTTTTTTATAAAAGTAACATCAAGATCAAAAGAAATTATTTTTAAAATTTAGGAAGAGGCTAAAAAATTTGAAATGATAAGAAATGTCCATAGAGATTATAAAAATAATATAATACACAATAAAGCTCAAAAAAGATAATACTATGAGTAATTATTTAAAAAAAATAAAAGTTTTATATTTCAAGTATGGCAGAAAAGGATTTGACCCCTATTCGGTGTATGGGCCATACACCGGACAAATTGAATGCTTAGAGTAGGATACGCCTTACCAAACTCAGATCGTTTTTCTCTACTCCGTGAAAAGGCTACCATTAATTGGATACGGTCATTGCGCGCCTTTGAATGAAGGTACTAAAAAAGAAATATCACAATTTGGATAAAGAAATTTGTTAAAAACAACCAGCAACTTGGACAGGTTTTTCTTAGGACCATGGTACTTTAAAGAAAGCAGGCAGACTGATGAAAAATTAAATATGAAGAATGATTCCTGAAAATGGAAGATCGTATGCAAAATATGGAATAAGGATTGCAGATTTGCTGCGTTGTGACAAGTTCAAAAAGTTTGCAAGTTCGTCTACAAAAGCAATTGAAGATGATTGGAAGTCATGAAAAAACAATGGCAAGAAGTGGAAAATCATCTGCCAGAACATGGAAGAGTGATTATTCCAATAGAGTAAAATGTAGTGGCATGTACTTACATAGAATAATGTAATCTGGAGATTCATTAATATAGAACTAAGCATGCCCAAAGAAATTCTCATCCAAAAGTCTCTGTCGAAGAAATTAGTACAGTGATAACGTCTGTGAAATTGAAAATGAATTTAAATGTAGATTGAAGTTGTTGGTCGATCAATGAGATGCATTGTGGAAGTCTCTTCCCTAGTCGGGGTCAATGAGAGCTGGAATTTGTCCAAACGCACCGTATATATTTTGGAGATCGGTAAACTAGAATCAGGTTCCTATATATTTTTCATCAAGGAATCAGTCTTTAGAGTTTTGGTCAATTTTAATACAAATTTTTTATTTTTTATTATTACCAAATATCATTCTTATATCAGCAACACATCATTCTCAAGAATTTTGATTAAAGTTGACTGTAATTTTTAAAATTAATTCTTAATTAATAAATCATGAGAACCAGCGCTAAGTCAACCAAAATTGCAGAGACCAACAATTATGTTTACCCTGAAAATAATATGCCAGGTGGGAGTTCAATGAAAAATTACGCGCGTGTCCGTGTGTGAGAAAAATTGCTCAAAAATTCACTATCTTACACCTGATTGACGCACGGAATCATCGTCAATAACTTCAGTCTCTTTCGCACCAGGGAGTTTCAGTTTCATATCAATCGTCAAAATTTTCAATTCAAGCCATGTCACTTGCATTTGTTGATTGAAATTCTTAAAATGCAAAATAAAATAAAATGGGTTCAAAATAAACAGGAAATAAATCATATCATACTATATTATAACATTTTCATCTCATGATTTTTGAAGGCTCACTGTAAAAATCAGTGCGTGGTTATCAACCTCGGCAGCACTCACACACACACACACACACACACACAATTGATCCCATCTTGTTGAATCGGTAGATCAAAATTGTTCGGATGCATGTCAAATCCAACGAAAATGACGCCATTTTGGGGGATGCCAAAGTCAATTATGGTGTCGCATAGTATTGGAATGAGAGACGAGTCGTTTTCCAAATTGCCATTATCCCTAGATTCCGTGAGTTGCACGGATTTGGGATAAGAAAATTACAAGAAATAATATAAATAACATTATTTACAGAATTTCAATTTAAATAATAGTATTGTATCGTTAAAAAAAAAAAAATTTATTTACACATATTTTTAATTTTAAAATTTAAAATTAGAGTCTATCATTTATATTACACAAATGATATACTTATTTCAACTTAACCAAATCCGTTAGAATATTTTACAATTGAAATAATTTCCTTTTAAAAGTTAACGCTTATATATTCATCAGGTTTACATCAAACTTAATGGAAAAACTGCAACCTTTTTACTTACAAAAACAAATCCTAAAAAAACAAAAACATGAAAATAAATATTAATTTTTAGAATCTCTAATGGAGCCTTGTAGAAATTTCCTTCTGGTAGTTCATCAACATCGGTGGCAGTGTTGATGGCGTGAAGCTTTGGATTCTATTCCCAGTGCTTCCATCATTATGGCCATTCATTGATTATTCGTTAGAATCCTCTTGCTCTCATTTTCTTATTCCAAAACTTGTTGGATGTTCCCACAATCTAAGAAAAGAAAACATTAGTTAGCTATATATCAAATTAAGGTAATCATGAATTCACTTGCTTGCACCCATCATCCTTTTTATGAACATTTACAAAAATCCCAAAAACATGTAAGGATTTAAAAAGTGGTATAAGTAAACTTACAACGCATTTTCAATAACTTGCTATTTTAAAAATTCCTACACAAAGAATTATTAGAAAGAATAATAAATAATGGTTATGATAATATATCAAGATATATGGCCTCTTTAAAGCCATATTATCAGAAGAATACTATGTGATAGCTGAACTAAAATTGACATAACCCGATTGGGTGAAGGGAATACATCTTTGATTTTTGCTGCTTCATTGCAAACAGTATCTGAAACAATTTAGCATGCTATTATTGATTCCATGAAGAACAAAACATCTATATATGCACCTATATAATTCGAAACAAATGAATTGTGAAACTTGAAACAAATGAACACCTCCATCAAGAATTTAACTGCAACATCATGTCATTTAGTGTTGACGCTTATATAACGATATTCTCCATGGTGATAGACCCAATGAAAGGAAACTCATGCCAAGGGCTATCATTCAAGCATAGCAAATTCAAGCTCTCTCGTGCTTCAGGAATTATGTGGATGAATCAAATGTCCTCTCCTTGACATTGCTTGAAAAGAGGAGCAAAACTCCTCCAACTTGACCACCCAGCTCTCGACCATCAACTGGGCCACATGAGATTGAGAGATGTAAAAATATTCTTGTATTAGAAACATAAACTCTCTAGCAAAACTTGATGGCATGGAAAACAGCATGGATTAATGCTTCTGTGATAGATGACTCAAAAAATTTGAAATAGAATTTAATTTAATACTCTCATCCCGTAAAAAGATAAAAATTAATTAAAATATATGAAAAATTAAATTAAATTCTATTAACCACTAAAAAAATCATTCATATCAACCAATGAAATAATAATAATAATAATAGACTAAAATCTAACCAATCAAATCAATTTTACAAAAGTTAATTGAGCCAATAGAAAAGGATAATTAACATCATACCAAAGTAGGCTAACTAATGAAAGAAGAGATTGTTGGCCAATCACCTTCACTCTACAAGTTTTGTAGATATATATTAATTGATGATGATTGATGATTGATTGATTGATTGATTGATATTGATTTAAATGAGAACTTTGATTTGATGAAGGTTAATTTCAAAATGTTGTAATTTTTTTTTTTTACATTTAACTAACTTAAATTACTGTTCTTGATTTCTGAAAAGTAGTTTACATTCATTCAACTAAAAAGTCTCTTAATCAATATATATTAACAAATTTTGTAGAAGTCTTCTGACTGGCCAAAAACTCTCCCATATTATTGATCAATTATCTTTAATATAATTTTAATTCTCTTCTACTGTTGGCTCGACCAAACATCAAATTTTATATATCCACCGTAAATTCATTTCCTTCCTCTGTTTTTTTGCACGGGAGCATTAACTCCCACCGTATGCTTGTCTCAGTTTATGTCTGCTTCCCTTTCCTATGTCTATTCTTCTTTCATTCCAGTCTGGGGTTATTTTCAAGGCTCCATGGTTATTGGCTTGCCCGTTCGTTGCTCTTTCCCCATCCATCTTCGTGTCTCTCGATATGTTCAAGAAATATCAGGCCTCTCCTGACGCTTCAGCTTCAGTGCAAAGCAAGAAAGTGAGCAAGTGAGACATATATATGTTCATTCTTGTTCTTCACGCTGCATAACCCTAGCAGTGAACGAAAATCTTAATCTTTCTTATTCTGCTTCAATATTATGTGGCCTTCTTTCTTCAGTTCCTGCCTTGATTGAATGCAGCGAAAGAAAATCTGTATTTTGGAATCTCTCTCACAAGTAAAAATCGTGTAAATTATCTGTTATAAGAAGGTAATCTTTCTTTTCTTTCTTCTCTTTTTGAGATAAATTATCTGTTTGGGGTCCATAAGAGCTATAAGCTAAGTTGGCAAAGAGATTTAACGATCAACTGAAGTCTTTCTTTCAGATACTCTCATCGTCTATTCTTCTTTTTGCTATCAGTTCAGAGCATTACACGCCTTGGATAATTGGCTTCATTTCAAAGGTTTATCATGTTATTAGTTGCATTTGATTTTGTGTTGGATCCTGTATCTCTATCATAATTTGGTTGAACTTGGATAGATTAAAAATGTGCTTATTCCTACTGACGTTATATGTATCAACTTTGCCATTCATGTCATTCCTTCTTGATGAAATGCTCGTATTCAAGTAATCTTATTTCACGCAAGAAAATGTTTAAGCAATTCTAGGCTAGAACCTACAAAATCATTTTTCTAATATCAATTTCAATACTAACCAGTAAAAATTAAGTCTCAATTACTTTGAATATTGAAAAAGATTACATTCTAAATATTTAAATTTTTAATTATCTTATTGAAACTTACAAAATCATTTTTTAATATTCCACTATTAAATTCGTAATTAATTTTTCAATTAAAAGTCTCTCGTGCTTCTTGAGAAATTAAATCCATTCAAGATTTAAGATTGATTCTCTCAAAAGTTGTGTGTTTGCATGTGGTTGACAAAGAATATTTTATGTGCAATTATCAAATTAATTACATTTAATCATGCAGTAAAATTATTTTTTTGTTTTCTTATTCCGAACACTTGATAAATTAGAATTATGCTCTTTATTGCTTGCATCCATTTATGAAAGGCCCCAGATTTTTTTACTCTGAACTATTTCCTTCCAAGTATAATTATTCTTCCTTTTAATTCTTCCCCATTTGATTGTGTACTTGAATCATGTAAGATAGAGATGGGATTCAATAAGTATAACTTTGTTAAAGATATCAATGACTCCACTAAGACATGGTGTATTGTTGTGAGAGTTGAATAAAAATTTTCGTGTTATGCATTCTTTGTGAAAATAATTCATTGCCAAAATATATTATCTAACCAACCTCCTTATTTGATTTTTATTAAAAGCCCGTTCTTTTCTCTACCCAATCATGTATAATGAAATCATCAAAGATTTAATATTTTTAAGCTCTATCTATATAGACTCGACAAACAAAGATGACATGTGCATAAATAAAATATTTAAAAAAAGAAAAACAATTGAATAGAGAAACACACAAAAAATTAACGATATCATATGTATCCATATCAATGATATTAATCATATTTATTTAAAATTCCTTAATTTCAGCCTGTGCAACATATGAAAAACTATCTAGTTATAAAATAAATTTTTTTATGAAATATGGAAAAATTATTGCTCATGTACTTTCTAAACAAATATTTTTAATTTACATTTACAATTTTTTTAAAGTGATACAACCCAAATGTCAATGGAAAATGAAAAATACCAATTAAGGATCGTTGAAAAAAAATTATATCAATTAAGAATTACTTATTATCAAAACTTAAATGAATAAATATCCATTTGGGTTAATTTTTTTATCAATAAATATTCATTTAAATTTTAATAATAACTTATTTTAAATTAACGATAATTTATTTAAATTTGAACAACAACTAATCCTTGACTATTATAAATTTTTTTAATGATCATTTGTTACTATTTTTTCATGAAAAATTTGAACCCTGAATTTGCGAGAGCAGCGTTGCTGTTAGAATATTAGTAATTTTTTAATTTTATTTTAAATTTATGCAAATTGATCTTTGAGTAAATTTTGTTTTTTGAGAGAGAGAGAGAGAGAGAGAGAGAGAGAGAGAGCGCCCACCCATTAAAATAAGTCATTCATTCCATTCAAATCCGTAGACCTACGTATAAAATAATGGCACCTCGTACACGGCTGCACTGACTCACCGTAACGATACTGTCTAATGTCTATCGACCGGGGGGCCAATTCTACGCTCGCTAGCAAACATCGAAGGTTGTGTCTGTAACCAAACACCGGATTAGGGTTAACTTATCAACATCCCAAAAGCATTTTGGGCGCCAATCAGCCTCCATATAAGCTTCTGGTAAAGCCTCCCGACTTTTCACCTTCTCTTTAAAAGCACGAAAGTCTTAATCTCGTTCTTCGCTGCTTCTACATTGCTCTTTCATGGTAATGGGTCACACCGCTACATGTATCACATGGATATGATTCAACATTTCAGGATTGAAACTGATAGATTTCTCCGTATCTCGCATTATTGTTGGCACTGAAAATCTGAAATTGTATAATCGAATAAACTGGATGCTTGAAATTGATAACGTCGAGATGCTGCGAATTTGGGTTTTATGAAATGCTTACTTGAATTAATAATAATATCAGGTTTTATCATACTGAATTTGCTTGTTGCGGTTGTCTCTTTTGAAAATTTGGAACATGTTGCTTGATGGCAGAGATTTTACGGTCGGAGTATGGGTTGATGACACTTCAAAAAATTTACATTCGATGGCCAGTTGATTCCCCCATCACTGTGCTTTATTGCTTTAAGTATGGATTTCCTTTTTGTCCATATTTCTGGTTGAGAGTTAATCCAACCCCCCCCCCCCAAAAAAAAAAAAAACAAAGAAAGAAAGAAATTAGCTTTTGGCCCCCTCATGTTAAGTTTATCCTAATGATTTGAAATAGACATCAAATGGGTATTATATTGTTTAGCAAGATACAGTATTGTTTTTCATATTTGACAATTCCTTTTTGCTCTTAGTAATTCATATGAACTTACTTTTTACTGAAGGAATTCTCGCCTGGATATAGAAGAGTAAAATGAAGTGTTAGAAAATGTCTCCTTTCGGGCATGATCTAATTTCTAGTGACATTAGCGTTACCATGATTACCATCTATCTGGAAAAAATTCAAAGCATGCCCTGTTATGCATAACTATAAAGTGGTCATCTCAATTGTAACTGCACCAGCACGTCAGGAAACTTTATGTAGAATTAGGTTAGCCTTGGTATGACTGTACTAGTCATTTTTGTTCAGCTATAATTTATTTAACAAATGCAATCGTTTGTATAAACTCAAAGATGGTATATGCCCTTCCTTGTGCACTCCTAATATACTTGTTTTCCATGTTCTAAGGAGTAATGGGTAGCCAAACTGCTATGAGCAATGACCGGTCAAGGATGAATTGGACTCCATTAATGGAACGCTATTTTCTTGATCTAATGCTAGAGCATTTGCACAGAGGGAATAGAGTTGGCCACACTTTCAACAAGCAGGCTTGGAATGACATGCTTACAATGTTCAATACTAAATTTAGCTCTCAATGTGACAAGGATGTTTTGAAAAGCCGTTATGCAACATTGTGGAAGCAATTCAATGATGTAAAAAATCTTCTTTGTCACATTGGATTTTCTTGGGATGCCTCTCGTCAAATGGTTACAGCCAATGATTTTGCTTGGGATGCTTACATCAAGGTGCACTGCTTTATTAATGTAATTGATTATATATTGAAAAAGTATACAATAACAGTATTTAAGTAATGATATTTTAAAATCTTAATAAATGATAGAGCATAATAGCGTCATATAATTCATGTAGCCGACCCCACCTAGTGGGATAAGGCTTGTTGTTGTTGTTGTTGATTATATATTGAAAAAAGTATACAATAATAGTGAATAACCTACAGGTTCATCCTGATGCACGATTCTACAGAACAAAGTCGGTGCAGAACTTTGACGATTTGTGTGTAATTTATGGCTCCACAATTGCTGATGGAAGATATAGTCTATCAAGCCATGATGCAAGCTTGGTTGATGAAGTGCAAAGTTTACAAGTGGGTGAGTGCTGCTTTCTGTCTCCATTTTCATCCTATATGGACAGGATATTCATTGCCATGGCAGATAAATTAATGTCTAAAATCTTCCTCAGCATAATTATTTTAATGCTCTTATTGTAGTTACTATTTGTCTTCCTATCCTTTCATTATGAATGAAAATGGGTTGGATACAAGCTTCATTATGTTGCTGGGAAGAAATCATAAACTGATTTTCTAATTCATAATTCATTATCTACTTTCAGTTTTACTTGTAGATAAGATGACAGATTTTGGGATATTAATGTAGCAAATTAGAAACGTTACTTTTTTGTTAGTCTAAGAAAGCTATTTGTTATTTGACAAATGAAACTAACTTGCTCAAATAGTTTTTTTTTTTTTAAATAAACGAAAGCTATGCAATTTAAAACTTTTGGCTCTTAAAGTGACTTTGCAAGAAAAAATATTTATCCTGTAGTATCCTTATTTGATTGTTAATCCTTTCGTTATAGGTGATGAAATCAGAAGCACTGCCCAATTCAGTAATGAGCATCCAAGATTAGACTGGACTGCTGCCATGGACCAGTTCTTTATAGAGCTTTTGCTTGACCAGTTGGGCAGGGGCAATAAGGTTGATAATTCATTTAGTAAGAAAGCTTGGACAGATATGCTTGCGATGTTTAATACAAAATTTGGGTCTCAGCATGGTAAAAGGTTTTTAAGGCAACGATACAGGAAGTTGTTGAAATATTACTGTGATATAACAGTTTTTCTAAAGGAAGGATTTTCATGGGATGGAAAACAACAAATGCTAGCAGCTGATGATAGTGTATGGAATGCTTATGTCAAGGTATATGATCTCGAAAATCCTTCATGTGTGGTTTGGAAAGGGTTTTTATGTAGGAATGTATGAACGTACTTAATGCAAGTTTTCTGGTGCTGATGGACTTAAAACTCTTGTAGGCCCATCCGCATGCACGAGCTTATAGAATGAAAACTTTGCCAGACTATCATGATTTGGAATTAATATTCAGAAGTGAATCTGATGATGTCATGAGTGATTTGCATCAGGAGAAAAACCTTCAAGATGTCATATCAGAGATAAATGCTGGTCAGTGACAGCCTAAAACTTTCTTTTTGCTAGTCCAAGTATTGTGTTTGAAAGATTTACAACTTGCTCCATAATGGTCATTACAAACTCACGGGCAACCAATAAGTGCGCTTGTTTGTTATTTTATGGCTTCCATAATCCTTATGATCAATTTAATCTGAATCTTTTTTTACATGAAAAGATTATCTTCATTGTCCTTGTAATGAAGTCGTGATTTTTCTATCTTGTGACACAAATGAGGATAGTGCTTATTGGCTTTCCTGTAAACTGTGATGTAATTGATAGTGTTATAATTCATATTTAATGTTCTTAGATAATTGGAGAACAATAGTTCTGCTATGACTTTGCCTTTTTCTGAAGGTGATGGAAGAGGAAACCAAAACACCAATGGCACAGATCGTACAAGAACATATTGGACGCCTCCAATGGATCGATGCCTCATCGACTTGTTGTTAGAGCAGGTGAAAAAAGGAAATAAATTGGGGCAGACATTCATTACCCAGGCTTGGAATGACATGGTTACTTCTTTTAACAGAAGATTCAAATGTTATCGTGACAAAGATGTTTTGAAGAATCGTTTCAAACATTTGAGGAGGCAGTACAAAGACATAGACAAGCTTCTTCAGCAGGATGGGTTTTCATGGGATGACACCCGAGAAATGGTTGCTGCAGAGGATTCTGTTTGGGATGCTTATACAAAGGTGAACTATTCTACACTAATAAAGTGTCTCAGTTGTTTTGTAACTAACATACAATTGCTGCAGGTACACCCTGAAGCTCGATCACTTAGAGTTAAAACCTTGCCGGGCTTCCGCAAATTGGGTGTTATACTTGGGGAGGAATGTAGTGATAAAAGATACAGCCTTTTGGCATCCATTGCAGACCCTAGTGGTGAATTACCGACATTGATAACAGGTATGTTTTTCATGTGACTTCTGATTGCAAGGCAATTTCTTGGGCAACTTGTGCTGGTAGATTGAGTGGTAATTGGACAATATAGTATAGTAGTATTGTTTTGTTGCCTTCTAGGCTGCTGCTTAAGGATGGAAGGCGTTGTTTATGTCAGCAACCATATTTATTATCTCTGGGAAAGTTTTTCCAGACAGATCTTCACCTAAATTTTGACGGAACTGATTATTGGACAAGTTGGATTTTAAAACCAATGCAATATCTTATTTTGGGATTATATAGGAACTTCTCTATATAAGGAGGCTGGGTGCCACAAAAGACATCTGCATTCTCCCGTATGTAGCAGATTCTGTGTTGAGTTGTGAATTATGCCTTGAACTTTGTTCAGAACTTAGTGCTCCCTCTTTCCATGATTATTTTTAACTGCTTTTGCACGGGATGTCCTAAAATTAGTGCTATATAACAAAACTTTGGCATTGTAAGTTTTTTGGTTTCTTTTGTTGTCTTTTCCAATTGCAAAATTGAGGAAATAAAAAATTCTGAAATCATTAACCCATGAAAGTAGTGTGTTGGTAATTATGTGTAAATAGAAATGCTTTTGTATTAATATCAATTCTCTTCACTCAAACACATAATTTGCGCTTCTAAATTAAGATTCTTACTGGACAAAGTTAGTAAGTTGACATCATTGTCTACGATATTTAATATATTGAAAAAAAAAATTATAGGCATTCATTACTGTCCAATCGGATCCTGTGCCACTAATTCCTAATAATACTTTCAAAATGTCAAATTGGGTTAATTTGATTGGCATTCATTAGGGTTAGTTGACGTTATGCATACTCATGGATATTTACAATTCAAAGGTGAAGAGAAGAATGGCAGTTTTCCCCGTGTTTATGATGCTGCTTCTATAATAGAGTGGACTGAGTCAATGGAATGCTGTTTCTTTGACCTCATGATTGAGCAAGTAAATCAGGGGAATAGAGTTGGAAATAAATTCAATCAACAAGCTTGGACTCATATGATTAAAGCATTCAGCACTAAATTGGGAATCCAATCTGATAAGCAGTTTCTAGAAGATCAATATTTCTGCTTAATGAAACAGCATAGTGACATCAGCAGTCTTCTCAATCACGATGGATTTGCGTGGGATGAAACACTACAGATGGTAGTTGCTGAAAATGATGTCTGGGAAGCCTACATCAAGGTATTTTCTTTCGTCCATCGACACTGCTCTCTGCTTGATATATTTTGGCTGTTGTCTATGATATATTGCCTCCTGTTAGTGCTCTGAGCGCTTCTTGACTTCTTTTCCATAATTGGAGATGTCTGCTTGCATGACAAGACTACGTGAGGACTTATTTTGTAAGTCTACTGTTGCTCACAATCTTATTTACTCCAACCTGTTAATGTTTGGTGTTTGTAGGACCACCCAGATGCCATCTCATATAGAAACCGGTTTTTGGATCTATACCCTGACTTGTGCAAAATTTTTGGAAATAAAGAATCAGGTGCAAGAGTCAGTACTCCGGGTGGGATCCAGTGGATGGAAGCAGGCAATATTACTATTGAAATAGATATGGATGGAACATGTGGAAATTTGATTCTAACTGACAACAGTGAAATATCATGCCACGATACGGAGCGGCTGAGAGGAAAGGATGTGAATAGAGCTTCTGGAAATTCTGTTGTGATGAGCAACGCTGAAATAATAGAGGAAGATAACCAAAGGCCGAACGAGTTGGATCTGGATGGGCCATCAGTAAATTTGGCTGTGACTGGAAACACTGAAATATCAGACCGAGATATAGAAAGACCAGAAGAGATTGATATGGATGGAACATCTGGAAATTTAGTTATCACTGCCAATGCTTCAATGTCGGGCCCAGATTTTGAAAGTCCTGGGAAATTAGGAATGGATGGACCATGTGGATATGACATCGTGACTGGAAACACAGACGCATCAAGCCCACATAAAAGAATGTTGGCGAAATTTAATGTGGGCAAAACCTCTAAAAAATTAATTGTGACTGGCAGCACGGAAATAAAAGATTGTGGTAAAAGAAGACGAGGTGAAGGTTTATCTGACTCCAGACCTCGAGACAAGAAACCAAAAAAAGACCAGAGAATACGAAAAGCTTTATCTGAGATGGCAAATGCGGTCAAAAAACTCATGAATGAGAAAGATGATAGATCTTTTCAAAATGCTCTAAGTGCACTCCAAGCTATGCCGGACATAGATGAGGAGCTAGTAATGGATGCTTGTGATCTGTTGGAAGATGAGAGAAAGGCGAAGACCTTTTTAGCCTTGGATACTTCCTTGCGAAAGAAGTGGCTGCTGAGAAAGCTGCGTTCTCAATAGCGGCCTACAATGCTTGTCCAATAGCCATTTTTTGAAGGTTTCGAACTAGATTGTACTTCTTGTTGAGGGTTACTCATAGTCATTGAAGCATGATTTTGTACATTGCAACATGAAGCTCATATATTTTATTTTTTTGGGACAAAAAAATGTTTGAAGGTATTGAAGTAGGTCGAGTTTTTTAATGGGGCTTGAAGCTAATAATTACTGTTAGCGCAGCTAATTGGTCTATAAACCGCAGGAAGCTTTGATGTTGGAAGTGCCAACACAAATAAAAGATTACGGAGACCATGCGGCACCTAGCCACCAACTAACGCTGGGAAGTGATCAAAATCTGTGCATAAAGATTGTTTCTTTCACCCAATCCAGACATCTTTTATAATTTTTGCCTAAAAGATATGCCTCAAAATCATAAAGAATCTGCCATCACCAAACTAGACAAGTCCTTGCCTTGAGCAATGTGTTTCAAAACTGTTATGTAAGGTTTGGATTAATGGATTTTAAATTTAAATTTAAAATCTTACATTTTAATAAAATTTATGTATTTAATTTTTTTTTATTTTGATAGTTTAAACAGTTTTAAATGAAAAAAATGATGAGTTAAAATTTCAAGCGAAAACAAAAAATTAAAACTGACAAGTTTACTTGTATTTTTAATTGATAAGACAAAAACGAGAAATAAGAAATGATATGAAAGTCATATAGTAAAAACACAAGAAGAATAAGATATTTAAAATAATTAAAATTTTAAATAATTAAAATAAACAAAATTTTAAATTACAAGAGATTTATAATAGAAAAATAAACTTAAATTTAAATCAAATTCTAATATACAAATTTGTGTATATAAATAAGAAATTTGGTCTAAACTCAAATTCTCACTAATCCAAACGCGCCATAAAATTATTTGAATCTCAGCATATACACAGAATGTGGATTTGTTTTATATATATTTTTGTCAATATATTTTAGTTTATTTTGTTGATTGAAATATCATTTGTTAGCTTAAATACACAAACATATATTACACACGTAACCAAAAAAAAAAAAACTATAACCTATTCTAATGACGGGCATATATTATAAAGATAAAGCTTATTCTGAAGTGTATATTTTAATTAAAAATACACAACGAAGCCTGCGTAACTGGAAAAAACGAATGAGGTGATAAGCCCTACCCCTATAGCAATGTCTAAAATTGCAATCAAATAAATCTCACTGGATGCCGTATTTAAGGAAAGGCAATTTCATTATGATACCAATAGCACATATCGCTGCACAATGGCAAAATTCTCTCATTGAATTAGTCTAATGATATAGTTTAAACATCTGTGGCCAAAAAAGGATATAATTTAAACATCAAAACGCATTTACTTAGCAGACAATTTTGCAACCTGAATCTAGTTTTCATCCAAAAAAAAAAAAAAATACACAAGCGATGCACATGGAATAATTGTCACATGCACTTGCTATCCGGCCAGCCAAATCACATCGGCTACACGCGTATGGCATATCAAGACCTGGAATGTCCTGTGCAACATAATTCATCAGCGTATACAACCCAGAATTCAAATAAGGCCAAGTTTTCTAAATATAGTGCTGAGGATAAGGATACAGAAAACCAAGCCGATAGCTGTTACTTAGTCTGACACTTCATCTGCACCTATTATTCGTATTCGTATTGAATTGAAAATGTGTGCTAAAAGCAAGTAACGCTTTCGTGCTACGCAGCATACCCATCACATCTATAGCCCCACATTGACACTTAAATGATTCCCTTTACATTAAGATTGCCAGCAATTAGAGGTCCGAGGTACTTCATACATCAATCAATGTGCCAATTTCTTCAAATGTTGAAAGGTCTTTTGCTTAATCCACTGCCTATCATAAGGCAGGTATGCCTGGACTGAATGATCATAACTGCACGTAGAAGCCAACATTAATATCAGTCACTGCCAAAAACAATACGTGAAGAAACCGATCTAATACAAAACGTTAAACCTCGAATATGCACGACTTGAGTTAAGCTATTACATCAGGCTATTTCGTTTGTCATCCCCCCCCCCTCTTCAAGAAGCGAAACAGATATAGCGGAGTTAGCATGTAACACAGCAATTTAGTCATCCATTATGTTCTTGTTCTTACAGACCCCTTTTAAGATTTAAAAAAAAAAACTGATAGGGTGAATGGGGCTTTGATGATTATGTTTACGCATATACCATGTGAATGCAATGTGTGATGTGGGGGAGGAGGAGGGACGGGTGCAATGAGATGTAATCTGTTCATCTGTTGTTTGTGTGTGGGGTGTTGTGTTCAGAAGGGGGGAGGAACAGAGAGAGAGAGAGAGAGAGAGAGAGATACACTAGAGCACTCATGTCCGCAAGACCGTCTATGAAGTTGTAGAGATCAGCGATATCATATGAGAGATTTCTGATGGCGGGATTTAACTCCTTAAGCTTCCTTTCATATAAAGCACAGATACCTGAATAACAAGAACAGTCATTAGCTTTAAAATTGGTAGATTCCCAGGTCCAGTGCTGTTACATCTTTTTCATCAAAAATAGAGTGCATGTATGAAGCCAAACGTCAGTTATAAACTGAACACTCATTCTTGCAGTGATAGAAATAAACGCCTGTGCTTAATTGTGTATGATAACGTATAGCAGTTCAATAAAAATGTGAAAAGGACGTGACTGGGAATAAAGGAAAACTTATTTTAGGCGTATGAAGCAGAACATTCTAGTTTAGATAATTTTATGTAGTTTCTGACTTTATAATGTCTGACTTCTACTTTGGCCAAAAAAAAAAATGTCTGACTTCTATTTGTATTTCCTGTCTTTCCGAACTTTGGTACTTTCTCTTTTTATATTTTTCGGCTCCCTGTAAATAGCCCAAAAGTATTGTAAGTTGTCAGAATCGAATTGGAGATCAATTACTTGCCTCAATTGCTTTTTCTCCCCCAAGTTCCTTCCTCCCTCTTCCTCATTCCTCTCCCTCACTCTTCCCCCTTTTTATTGTTGTTCTATATCAGGATGCAACCTTCAAATGAAAGACATAAAGGGGACACTTTGAGGGCTAAAATATGCACAAAGGTCTAATTACCTATATTGAGATATAAGAAGCTTTTTTTTTTTTTAAACCATAAATTGATTTGGTATAATGGACTGGGTCTAAGCAGATTAGCATAGGTGACTGAGCAATATGGAACCAACAGTGGCAGCAGTTCATTATTATTGTGAAACCAATTTTGGACATCAAAAGTTAAGTGCAAGACTACTGTTATGTACACTAAAGAACAGATAAAAGTATAAAACAATTATTTAATTATTGACCAACCATGACGTCAATAACTTAGTCCTTCAAATACATGACACATTGTGTTGTACGGCGCACAGTCCTTCAAATACTTGACACGTTGTGTTGTATGGCACATTTTTTAAACACACATAACAGGCCAATTTCTCTGTATAGGAATGGGATAAGAACTGAAGATCAAGTTCCAACCCAACACAACTCTTAAGAAGGGTCTGAAATTCTAAATTATTAAACCATGCAATCTTAGGATAATTTTGTTCCTTGCAGCCCCAAATGAAGACTGGATTGATTATACTAGCCAGCCCTGGAATTAATCATTACCAAGCCACAGTTAAAAACTAAAAAATGATAAGGACAAACCAAGGGAAACATAGAGAACCAACCATATGACAAACCCCAAAAGCCTTTGTAAAGAAAGGGGGGAGGCAATAGAAAGAATCTCTTTTGATGACCAGTAGGAATATGATATTAAATTTTCATTTATTTAATACATGTCTGAAAGAAGCATTATATAATTAATGCAGTGACCATTGTTTGCAGACATCCAGACCAACCCAAATATCCAGCATAGGATATGGTTAATTATGTTCTCTTCCACCTATAGTCTCAAAACATAGCTCCATAGGTTGATCAAGAAAATAGCGAAGTTGAATAGGCAAGCACAAATTTTTGTTCTTAAAAAAAACCCTTGGCATAGGAACTCAAGCAACCACCCAACTTTTCTTTCAAAGTATGAAGCACCACATGATCCAAATTAACAGAATCACAACCCAAAAGTATAGAAGTGTTCATCAAGATATTGATACAGAAGTGTTCAGTAGAAGCACATCATAGCCTGTAGGCTATTCATGAATCATATCTCCATTGTCTAAGCCTAGTGATATAAACAACAGTCTACGGAGATATCACTTCTCCCATTTCCCTCATAAATAGAGAAACATATTAACACTTCAAAAACTGAAATCTTTCTTGACATGCTGCCATGCCCAACAAATATGATGTGATTAAGATAACCTCCGCCACATATTAAGAACATTATTTGGTCCAATATTTATGCATGCTATTATGTTCTTCTCTCCATTCTATATAACATTACTTCTTATTATCAAATTACAACAGGGGAAAAATTGAGATTTATAATCCAACATCATTTTGAGCAAAATATCAAAAATCATCTTACAGCTAATTATTTGATACAAGAGAAACTATAATCCATAAAACAACACAATTTAATATAATAAAGCCTTTCTCCCATTTAAATTGCCATTTTTATTTGTAGATGTATGTTGATATTCACGATGTTATGAAATTTATGCTGCTTCCCAACTAAATGATAGTTTTGACAAAAAGCCAAATTTTCAAGGTCATGAAATATTCTAATTTTATATATCAATTATCAAAGAGAACATGACAGATATATATTTTTATGTAACATTATCAAATAGCTTGAGAAAAGGAAGACGAAGCAGAGATACAGGCAACAAATATGGTTATGAGGATAAAAGGATTCCCACAGCAAGTTATACCCACATGTAAGACATACCATCCATTGCCTGGCTTATTGACTCATAATCCATAAATGTTCTAGTTGCCCTGTTCTGAGAAGTCTGCATTAAAATAATTGTGTGGCGATGGGCCTAAATAAGTTGTCAAAAAACAAAAATATGGTCAGTAAATGGGTAAGTTACAAACATGAAATTAATTCTTTAATGACAGATGAAAAGTTGAAAAAGCATCATATGTCGACATTTGCCAGCTTACTCAACTTTTTTTTCCCCAACATGTTTAAAGTCGAAGGAAAACTTTTCAATGCCGACGGACCTAAATCTTAGCATACTGGAAAGAAAGGCTAGATGTCGCCAACAACATGAAGATGGAAATCGATTAATAATGCGATCTAAACAACACATGGGAACAGAATAGGGCACAGCTGCACTCGTGACTTTATCTTAGCTTAGAAGGAACGGATTTAAGTCAGACGGAGCCACTGGTACAGTTGTGACAACAAATGTTGCATAAGAAGCATTGCCCTGAAGTCCTAAGAACCATCCCACTCTCTCAATAGCCAATACAATCACTGGCTGACCAGACCATACCTTCCCGAGTCCCCAAAAAGAAAAACCTAGCTACCATTCTTCGCCATATTTTTCTCAGAAATCAAACTAGGGATTTACACAGCCCCAGTTTATTTCTTAATTGCGAAATTGTTGGGTAAATCAGACAATAATGGCATGAGGTGATGAAAATTTTACCATGAGAAAAGGAGGGTGATCGGTGGCAGTCGACGGAGAGAGTGTAGGAGCAAGCTGATGGCGTCGTTCGTTGGAGCTACGCAAGGTACCAATGAGGCGACCTGAGGAGCGGACTCGAATTCGTGGAGAGCCACTGGAGTAGCGACAGATAAGCACAGGCGGCTATGTGAAATTGGAATGCTTGAGAAAATTGGCTCCGCTTTTGACCAAAAAATAAAGAAAATTGGCTCCTCTTTTGACCAAAAAATAAGGAAAATTTTCTCTGCTAATATTAAGCATTAGCAGCTGTCAAATTTTACTCCACCGTGGTTGTCAAAGAAAAGTTATAGCTCATTTATTTAAAATTAAAAAATAAATAATTTTTAGATAATTTAAAAATTTAATAAAAATATTTTATATTTTTAGATATTTTAAAATTTTATTTTATAAATATTTTATAAAAAAATAGATCTTGTTTTATATTTGGTTGCAATAAAAAAATAATTATTAATTAGTTATTCTTAAATTTTATGGTATTTTTCTTAATTTTTATTTTATAAAATAATTTATTATTATATTATTTAAAATTGTATGATATCTTCATATATCTCACCTCTTTAAAACTATCTCTCTTATCTGTCATGTTAGATTATTTTTAAAAGCTATTCAAAATAATTTTTTAAAATAATCATAAATTTACTTTTTTTAATTCTGATTATTTTTAAAAATTTAAACAAATATCTTGAAACAAAATAATTTTTCATAAAATAAGTTAAAATAAATAGGCTCTTATTCCTGATATCATTGTACGAAACAAATTGATTTTGGAGTTAACCATCATTTACCTTTTTTATAAATTAATCATTTCAATTTTTTGGTAAAATAAATCGTTTAGTTTATTACTATTTATTCACGCAACACATTTTTGGAAATTCTCTTAGGAAAAATTGTCATGGGTTACTCTACAATGTTTTTTTAATGCTTGACGAATAAGTCATTAAAAAGATTAAGAATAATTTTTGTATACAAGTCCTTAGGGTGCAAAAGCATTATATTCAGAAAAAAATTATGGTTTTTTGTAGACTCCACATTTCCGAATATGAATTGAATTTTTTCCTTACAGTTTTATTATGGTCTTGCATTCAAAAAATAAATAAATAAATAAAAATAATACTTACATAAAAAGTCGATGAACTGTAAGAAACTAAATGTGTTTCCGTCTGATTGGCTTTATAATAAACATGATCAATGGCCTTGCGCCACAAGTGGCACCACTCCCATCCTGCACTATGCACGGCCTGGGTTCGAGCCCAGAGTAGCCCCGTGTGTGTGTCTGTGTGAGTTTCCTTCCCTGAGGAAGGAGTTGGGGGAAAAAAAACTTTGTAATAAATATGAAAATTAGCAATGTAAAAAACTGACACTCTCTGGAGACTTCGTACAGAGTATGGGTCTATCTTAATTTTTATTTATCTAGACAGTTCGCTATCCACGTTTCTTGTAGAATATTATAATATAATTTTTTTACTTTTCATATGTGATTTGTTTTTTTTTTTATTTAACCACCGAATTCGCTTGCATGAAGCAGCTCATACAACAGGGTACAAGGGCAACATTTTAACAATACCGAGACACTTCAGTGTTGATATTGCTTTGAACATGACTATCTCGAATCGGAGGATACTCATGGTTAATCGAAAAATATTAAACACTTGATTTTGGAACAAACCAGAGAAGGTAATCTGGAATTAAGAAAACACATTTGTGAATAACAAACCAAAGCATTCTAAAATTGTCATTAGAGATCGTCATTAAAGATGATTATGGGATCTAGAATCCTGACATCATCGTCCCATTTAGTTATTAAAAATGATATGAATAAAATAAATTAAAAAATTAAAAATAAAAATAAATTAAATTACTATTCCTCTTATAATAAATATAATAAAATTTAATATTACATACTAAAAATCATCATACTTTTTAAAAATATCATAAATCATAACTCTCTATCTCATAAACTGAATTATCATTTTCCCTTAATCAATATGATTCATTTATTCTCCTGCACAGATTGATCATATTATCTTTATTTTTTCTTTTTTTCAATTTGTTCCATTCTTTTTTTTTTCTTTTTTAGAAACCAAACTAGACCTAAAATCTTGTGCAAACCCACCGGCCTTTTCTAACCTTATTTGACCATGCTTGCCATATCCATTTCATTCAAAATAGTTGATAAAGGACAAGGTGGAGCCTGAGCAATGAAGTGTAACCGTTGGCTCAATTTTCATGGAAGGGGTCAAAGTTTTGCAACCTTTAAGATTGTGCCAAGATACTAGAGAAACATGTCCTCAAAAGTATGTATTGAATTAAATGATTAAGCAAGTTCTTAAAGTCCTTTATCGCAAATTTTTAAAAAAGTTGACTACATGAAGAAACAATAGAGAGCGTGTTGTGCTAAGTGTAAAGCTTAATGATATTACTTAGCAAAATGAGTACATCTGGGTGCTTCATGAAAATAGAGAAGAAAATATAAATACAAAACTAAATTAGGAAGTCAAGCTTGCATGGAAAAAGTAGCTTACTCTGGGCAGGATTGGGTGATGCAGGGTTACAATTAGCATTTTACGTTAGGAAAGTCTCGTGTAAGTTTGACAAAACGTCAGAAGACTTTCAATCATGCACTCATTATTTATTTATAAAAAATAAAAAAATTGCAACAACATGCTCCTTTTCAATTCAAATTTGATACCACCAGGAGCAAGTAACTGTTCACACCTTTGAATTTCGTGGGCATGCCTCCTTGTGTACGATGTTGAGTATAAGTGCACCGACAAACGTGGGAGGTGAGTAAAGTGAGTGTGACTCCATTAATGACTTTCTAAACTCGTTGTTCCACTTAAGCACATAGGGTTGGATCGCTATTGGGCCACTTTCTGGTTGAATTGGGCTTTAGTGAATTATCTCCCTCAGCCAGTAAATAGCAAGCAAGAAATTTGTTGAATCTTTTATTCAATTTATTCGAAATTTATACAAAATATCTTGTTATAATTAATTAATTAATGTGCATTTTTTCTTCTTGAGTTTTTCAATGGCAGAAAATAAGATAAACAGATACAATGTTTGGAATTGTGATATGGTACGTGTAGAAATGTTCCAAACAAAAGAAAACAAATATTTTCAATAACTTTGTCAATTCTTTTTCTTTTAAAGATATAGATTTTAATGATACTTTTATAAATGGTATGTTTATGTTTGCGAAAATTTTATATATATATATATATATATATATTTTACCCAAAGGCACTTGGTGTAATTGGTTGAGAGAGTTGAATTAACTTATTTTAAAATTTTGAGTTAAAGTTCTAATATATGCAATCATATTAAATAAATACTCCTTCCAAATAATAATATAAAGCATCTTCTAAAATCTCTTGGTCCAAAATATAAAATATTGAATAATTTTTATAATTACTTTTTTAACTATATCCCTATTTCATTTATTACTTTTTAAAAAAACATGCATTAAAACTTTAATTACTATTATCAAAGCTCTTATATAAGGTATTTAATGAGAGTATAAATGAAAATATATGTAAATTTTTAAGAATTTAAATTTTCGGTTAATATTATTTACAAATCATGAATTAGTTAAATATAATTTATATTATAATTTGAAAGGAATATGTCAAAGGCCTCCACAAGATACAGCTTCTGTTAATAATAAGGATCCCAAATAATAAATACAGTTTCTGTTGATAATAAGGATCCCAAATAATAAGAGTTTAGATTAGTCTCGGAAGAGGTGATAATATTTTGTGGTTCCGTGACATTGAATGACGGGATAAAAAAAGAAATATAACTTTTTTTCCGTCATTATAATTCTCCTTTCTTCTCTCTTTGATTGCACTGCTCCAGTAATCCTTCTCTTTTATAAATTGGTTTTCCATGCGCTATGCGCCTCTGCCTGCGATGGCAAATCTTTGTAGCCCATTCCTCCACGTCGTCCTCTTCGAGTAATGTTATCTCTAGAAATTTGTCGAGTTTTTGGTCCTCTTTTTATACCGGAAGCTTTTCGTCTTTGAACTTTGAAGCTTGGAATGCCATCCTTCTTCAGCTCAATACTTTCCTAGCTCACTTTTTACTGTAACATACTTCATTATTTAACGTGTATCTTGCTAAACGTAAAATTCACTTTATTCTTTTTTTTTATAAAATTAAACCACCTGGTGTTACGCATGCACACAATCAGGAGTGAAGGGGAGGGAACCGACAAGGTCATAGTCCCCTAATTTTTTTTAATTTTTTTAATGAAATATAGAAATTATATATTTTCAACTTCCATGAGTTAGTATATTATAGAAATTATAAAACACTTGATAGAATTTTATTTCAATTTTATGTGTAGTCTTTTACATATGTATAAAGCAACTATTTCAATGGTTTGAAGATGTAGTTGTTATAAGATTTACTTATTTTCAATGAGATAATATTATGTATGCTCTTAAAGTATTGATATTATTTTATTTTGCCTTCATTTTATATTTAATAAAAGAAATTATGAAGATTATTATTAAAAAAATTTGTTAAGGATTGAAACAAAAATCCCAAAACATATTGAATGCTATGTGCTTGATATCTATCATAGAATCTGTAACATCCTGATTTTTATATAATAAAGAAATTGTGGAATTTAGGTTTTGAGAAAAAAAATGATAATAATAGGAATTTATATTATTTGAGGTTATTTAGAAATAATATTATGATTAGGTATTTAATTATGAATTTAAAAATTTAAATTTAAAATCACATAAGCAATATTTAGTTAAGATATAATACATAAATAATTTTTTTTATGTGTGTGTTAAAAAAAAAAAGAGAAGGTAGAAGGAACAAAAAAAAGGGGGGGTGGAAGGTTGTTGTTTCTAAGTCCCACATTGGTTAGATGAGGGAAGAGAAGAGGTGCCTTCATGTATAAAAAGGAGGGGGTGTGTGCATTAGGAAGCATGAGAGGCTAAGATGCAATTTAGAGAAAATTGCAACTTTGGGCCCAAAGGTTTGAATAATTAAATTCAAACCTATAGTTTTTTTTTAATATAATTTTGGGACTCACAATCCCATTTTTATATTATTTTTCTCTCTTCCTCTCACGTTGCTCGGCGTTTTCTCGCAAGGGGGAATTATTTTCTTTTTTCTTCAGGTATGTTCTAACTTTCCTGTTTAGATTAGCATTTAAAAATTTATTTAATTACAAAATTAATTTTATAGTTATTTTCTAAATAATATTAGCTTTCTAGTGATATGATTATTTTGTAGGATAGAGTAAATATTTTGATTAGGATTTTTCTATAGGATAGTTAATCTGATGATATGATGGATTAAAAATATAGGTTAAAATTCTTAGGGATATAGTAAATATTATAGAATATTTTCTTAAGGTTGAAACTCATGTTTAAGAATTTTTGAGTTAAAATCTAGATCTATATGGTTGAATTTATGTGGAATCTGAGATGTAGGGATAAATCTATGATTATTAAATATTTATTTAAGTATGAATAGGTATTTTTGAGGTTATAGAAAGGTGATTTGAGGCTTCAGGATAATTCTAAAATTTTTAATTTATTTTTAGATGAATTTTTAGAATGTAGAAGGATGAAATTGCGATACTAGAAGTGAATTGAGGATAAAAAAAAATAGTTCATTAGGGTACGAGAATTTTAGAAAAGAATTTGGGAAGTTAAATAAGGCATAAATCTTAAATTAGTGTTAATATGGACTATAGATTTAAGACTTTCTAACTCTTTAAATTAGAGTTATTTATTTTAATGTAAAATTAATATATAGTATTGTGAAATAATTATGTAGATTATATTGACAAAGATAGTGGTGAAAAAGGAGTTGTGAAGGGGAACTTGTTATTCAAGACACAAGGTAACCATTATTAATGTGTTGTGATGAGTGTGTTTGTGAATGGTTATGTGTTGTTTTGTTGTTTGGAAAAATTATGAATTATTGAAAATAAATACTGTATATACTTGTTTGAAATTATTGCCAAGTGGGTTAAAAATTTATTTTTGTTTATCATGATGAGATATTATTGTTCGGATATATTCCTGTTTGGATATTTGAATGATGCATGACTTGTCAGGGTATTTTAATGTATGGTGTTAATGGGAATTTCTGTTCGGTTAATTATTACCACGTGGTAAGCCCTCATTGGACCCAATGAGTGGCGTGTCGCTTGGTCCAACTCACCTTTGGCCGGGTGATTTGGCGTCCGAGCATGGTGAAAGGAGGATATAAGGTGCAGTCATGCAATTAAATACTTGTTCGGTTTGTTTGAAAATATTGTTCGGTTAAATGTTTTGTGTGCCCACTTAGCAATCGCATGATTAGTTACATCCGCATGCATCATTACATATTAATTTTTGGTTACTGAGACTTTTAAGTCTCATTCCCCGTGGTTAATATTTTTACAGGAGCGAATCCGGCCGAGAAAGCACCAGAGGTGTAATTATGGTGTATGAGACACCATCTTTTACGTTGCCTCTTATTTTGGATTATACAATGTATCTTGTGCCAACTTAGGACATATCTTGTCTATGGAGCATGTAAACTCTAATCCTTTTTATTAAATGCATTTATATGTCCAAGAGGATTATGTCTGTCCCTTTTGATTCATGACCTAATTTAAATAACATGCTATGAGGATCATGTCTGTCCCTCATGGTTCTAATTGCTTTTTGAGATATTTTAAGACCTGTGGTACATTGTCTTGGATGTATCATGGTAGAAATTTTTCTACCATGATAAGGGTATGATAAGGGTTCAATGAAAAAAAAAAAATGATTTCTTGAATTAATAACTTGCGAAAAATTGGTTTGTAAATTTGAGGGTGTTACATATTGGTATCAGAGCATATAGTCGGTTGGCAATATACATTGTTATGGTGCTTCTCATTGTATGGCCATGATATAGCTAGGCTAATTTTATTATTTATATCTTGTATCCTTTAGGAGGGGAGAGAAAATGCCTGTTACTCGTGGTAACTCAGGATTCCAACATGAGCACCTGCCACCGCCACTGCCAAATGAGGAGCCTGACTTGGCGGAATTAAGAATGCTTGTAAAAACATTAACAGACAAGGTTCAAGGATACGAACAAGAGTTGACGGAGCTAAAGAGGCAAAAGGTAACTGAAAATGGAGATAGGGCTCATGTTGAGAGTCATGTGGGGGAAGGCAGTTCCTCACATCCTGCCACTCTGAGAGATCATGAGTCTAGAAGGAAAGAAATTAGGCAGGAGGAACAGAGAGCCCCACCGACCATTACTGATGTGTGGGAAACTGTTAGGAAGTTTAACCCTCCTACGTTTGATGGTAACCTTAAACCATCCGTGGTAGAGGAATGGGTGAAGAGACTCGAATCCATCTTTCGAGTAGTCACATGCACCAGCAATCAAAAAGTACAAGTAGCATTAGTGCTCCTAGTGAAAGGAGCAAGAGATTGGTGGGAGACAGCAGGGCCCAGGGATGATTCTACACTCACCTGGGAGGAATTCAAGGAAAAATTATTTAGGCATTACTTTCCATCAGAGTTAAGGTCTGAGAAGGAAGCGGAATTCCATGCCTTTAAGCAAGGGAACCTCGATGAGGACACATTCATTGCTAAGTTTCAGGAGTTATCTAGATACTCCACGTACCTGCAGTATAGGGATGATTCCGAATGGAAGGCTAAGCGCTTATTGGAGAAGGCTAGACCAGAATTGAGGGAACAATTGGCTCATCTAGATATCCGAGATTATGATGAAATGTGCATAAAACTACAAGTAGTAGCTCGCAGTAAGAAGGAGGTTGAGAGAGAGAAGAGGGGTTATTCATATAGTAGACCCCCAACCTACCCTCGACCCACCGGAGGCATTATGAAGAAAAACCATCAGGGTTCGAGTAGCTCATGGAACCAAGGAAGGCAGAAGGGTCCATTTCAAAGGGGCCAAGGACAGAGGAGCTATCATAGTAGTTATTACGGGTCACAGAGGAGCCCAACAGTATCTACCCCTGCCCCGAGTACAGCGAGCTCTCAACAGTGCACTAAATGCGGGCGTCGTCATTTCGGACAGTGCTGGGTCTGTTACATTTGTGGGAAACCCGGTCACATTGCAAAGTTTTGTGGGGACAACCAGGGCTCAAATATGAAGAACCCTTCCCAACATCCTACTGTCTCTGGTCGTGTGTTTGCTCTTACTCAGGACACCATGAACTCCCCAGATGCCATTAGAGGTAACATCAAAATCCTTCATCATGATATTGTTGCACTATTTGATTCGGGTGCTACACACTCTTTTATTTCTGAAACTTGTGTAAAGAACCTTGATTTGCCTGTGTGTATTTTACCGTTTGATATGAATGTGTCTACTCCTGCGGGAGAATCTGTGAGGACCGCTAAGGCATGCCTTAACCTAGTAGTCGAGTTTAAAAATAGGAAAACAACTATGGACTTAATTATCCTACCACTGAGAGGTATGGATGTAATTGTGGGAATGAATTGGATGGCTGCAAATGGTGCTATCCTAGATTGTAGAGAGAGGAGTGTGTCTTTATCTTCTTTGTCGGTGACCCCAGTCGAGACTCAAGATCATGTTTTCTTGTCGGCGGCGCAAGTTGATAGATGTATGAAGAAGGGTTGCCAGGCCTACATGGTTTTCTTCTCTATCCAAGCTGAGATTGATGAAGGCGTGAAGAATATCCCAATTGTCAAAGAATTTGCGGATGTATTTCCAGACGAAGTCTCCGGTTTACCCCCAAAGCGCGAGGTAGAGTTCTCAATTGAATTGGTACCCGGTACAGGGCCAATTTCTAAGGCTCCTTATCGGATGTCCCCTTCAGAGTTAGCGGAACTGAAAAGGCAAATCGAAGAGCTACTTGAGAAGGGTTTCATCAGACCGAGTGTTTCACCTTGGGGATCTCCAGTCCTTTTTGTAAAGAAGAAGGACGGAAGCCTCCGATTGTGCATTGATTATAGACAATTGAACAAAGTAACCATCAAGAACAAATATCCACTTCCGAGAATCGATGATTTGCTGGATCAGCTTGTGGGATCCGCAGTTTTCTCAAAGATTGACTTAAGGTCAGGGTACCACCAATTGAGAGTGAGAGCAGAGGATATACCTAAGACAGCATTTCGGACGAGATATGGGCATTATGAATTCATGGTGATGCCGTTTGGACTTACGAATGCTCCTGCGGTATTCATGGATTACATGAATAGGATCTTTCGACCCTATTTAGATAAGTTTGTAGTAGTGTTTATTGATGACATTCTTATTTATTCAAAGGATGAGGAGGCTCATGGTGAACATTTAAGAATCGTCTTGCAAGTTTTGAGGGAACATAAGCTTTATGCCAAATTAAGCAAGTGTGAATTTTGGCTCCAAGAAGTAAAGTTTTTGGGCCATGTTGTGTCCAGAGATGGAGTTGCGGTGGATCCTAGCAAGATTGATGCAGTGATGAAGTGGGAACAGCCAAAATCTGTTACAGAGATACGAAGCTTTTTAGGTCTAGCAGGTTATTATCGTCGCTTTATTAAGGGATTTTCGCAAATTGCGATGCCCTTAACTAAGCTAACTAAGAAGGATGCCCCATTTATTTGGACTGACAAATGTGAAGCTGCTTTCCAAGAATTGAAAAAGAGGTTAACCACTACTCCAGTATTGACTATTCCTGACCCTGTGGTGCCGTACACTCTGTACACTGATGCTTCTTTAAAGGGTTTAGGATGTGTTTTGATGCAAAATGACCGAGTGGTTGCCTATTCCTCCAGACAGTTGAGACCACACGAGGAAAATTACCCTACTCATGATTTGGAGTTAGCTGCAGTTGTGTTTGCTCTAAAGATATGGAGACACTACTTGTATGGATCTAAGTTTCAAATCTTCAGTGACCATAAGAGCCTGAAGTATTTATTTGATCAAAAAGAGCTTAATATGAGGCAGCGACGATGGATGGAATTTCTAAAGGATTATGACTTTGAATTACATTACCATCCGGGTAAGGCTAACGTGGTAGCTGATGCCTTAAGTAGAAAGACTATTCATGCTGCACATTTGATGGTTCATGAATATCATTTATGGAACAGTTTTCATGATGTTCCAGTAGATGTGATTGAACATCAAATGGCCGCACTCCAGGTAGCAGACTTTGAGAGCAAATTCTGGGAAGATCTCAGAGTCTCACAGCAAAGTGATGACTACTTAAGGAATATAAGGAAGGAGATAGTGGTAGGTAAGGCCCCAAATTTTACCATCTCTGAGGACACAGTGATGAAGTATAAAGGTAGAGTTTGTGTACCTAATGATCCAAGATTGAGGAATATCCTTTTAGAAGAAGCTCATAGGAGCAAATATACAATTCATCCCGGTATAACTAAAATGTACCATGATTTGAAGCGAGGTTGGTGGTGGCCAGGAATGAAGAAAGATGTAACTGAATTTGTTTCTAGATGTTTAACGTGTCAGAAGATAAAGATAGAACATCAGAAGCCAGCTGGAACACTGCAACCGTTAGATATTCCAAAGTGGAAATGGGATGATATTTCTATGGATTTCATCACTGGACTGCCAAGAACACCCTCGAGTAAGGATGCTATTTGGGTGATAGTAGACCGACTCACCAAATCAGCTCACTTTTTGGCGATCAAGTTTACCTCTACATTAGAGAAATTTGCTGAGATATACATTAAGGAGATAGTTAGACTTCATGGTATACCCTCTAGAATTGTGTCAGATCGTGACCCAAGGTTCACTTCAAACTTTTGGGGTGCGCTACAGAAGGCTATGGGTACCAGACTGAGTTTTAGCACCGCATACCACCCCCAAACAGATGGACAAACAGAGAGGACGATCCAGACTTTGGAGGACATGTTGAGAGCTTGTGCCATTGAACTACCAGGTAGTTGGGATAATCATTTGCCATTAGCTGAATTTGCTTATAATAACAGCTATCATTCTAGTATTGGGATGGCGCCTTATGAGGCCTTGTATGGAAGGAAGTGTAGATCGCCTTTATGTTGGACAGAATTAAGTGAGAGGAGTATCATTGGTCCAGAAATTGTAGAGCAAACCACCCAGAAGATTGCAATGATTAAGCAAAAATTGCTAACCGCTCAGAGCCGACAGAAGAGCTATGCTGATAAGAGGAGACGGCCGTTAGAGTTTGAAGTAGGAGATCATGTATTTTTGAAGGTTTCTCCAGTGACAGGCATTGGTAGATCCATTAAGGCAAAGAAATTGACACCTAGATTTATGGGCCCGTATGAGATCTTGGAGCGAATTGGATCTACTGCATATAGAGTTGCATTACCTCCACAGATTGCAGGTATCCATAATGTGTTCCACGTATCACAGTTGAAGAAGTACAACCCGGATCCCTCCCATGTTATTGAACCTGAAGAAGTAGAATTGAGGGAGAATTTGACCTTTAGATCCGAACCGGAGCGAATTGAGGACTTTAAGGACAAACAACTACGCAATAAGACCATCCGACTCGTGAAGGTGATTTGGAAGGGTGGAGCCCTAGGTGATGCTACTTGGGAGACCGAGGAGAGTATGAGGCGAGATTATCCACATTTATTTGCTTAGGTACATAGTTTCTAAGCTTATCTATTAAATTTTGAGGACAAAATTTCTAAAAGGAGGGGAGAATTGTAACATCCTGATTTTTATATAATAAAGAAATTGTGGAATTTAGGTTTTGAGAAAAAAAATGATAATAATAGGAATTTATATTATTTGAGGTTATTTAGAAATAATATTATGATTAGGTATTTAATTATGAATTTAAAAATTTAAATTTAAAATCACATAAGCAATATTTAGTTAAGATATAATACATAAATAATTTTTTTTATGTGTGTGTTAAAAAAAAAAGAGAAGGTAGAAGGAACAAAAAAAAGGGGGGGTGGAAGGTTGTTGTTTCTAAGTCCCACATTGGTTAGATGAGGGAAGAGAAGAGGTGCCTTCATGTATAAAAAGGAGGGGGTGTGTGCATTAGGAAGCATGAGAGGCTAAGATGCAATTTAGAGAAAATTGCAACTTTGGGCCCAAAGGTTTGAATAATTAAATTCAAACCTATAGTTTTTTTTTAATATAATTTTGGGACTCACAATCCCATTTTTATATTATTTTTCTCTCTTCCTCTCACGTTGCTCGGCGTTTTCTCGCAAGGGGGATTATTTTCTTTTTTCTTCAGGTATGTTCTAACTTTCCTGTTTAGATTAGCATTTAAAAATTTATTTAATTACAAAATTAATTTTATAGTTATTTTCTAAATAATATTAGCTTTCTAGTGATATGATTATTTTGTAGGATAGAGTAAATATTTTGATTAGGATTTTTCTATAGGATAGTTAATCTGATGATATGATGGATTAAAAATATAGGTTAAAATTCTTAGGGATATAGTAAATATTATAGAATATTTTCTTAAGGTTGAAACTCATGTTTAAGAATTTTTGAGTTAAAATCTAGATCTATATGGTTGAATTTATGTGGAATCTGAGATGTAGGGATAAATCTATGATTATTAAATATTTATTTAAGTATGAATAGGTATTTTTGAGGTTATAGAAAGGTGATTTGAGGCTTCAGGATAATTCTAAAATTTTTAATTTATTTTTAGATGAATTTTTAGAATGTAGAAGGATGAAATTGCGATACTAGAAGTGAATTGAGGATAAAAAAAAATAGTTCATTAGGGTACGAGAATTTTAGAAAAGAATTTGGGAAGTTAAATAAGGCATAAATCTTAAATTAGTGTTAATATGGACTATAGATTTAAGACTTTCTAACTCTTTAAATTAGAGTTATTTATTTTAATGTAAAATTAATATATAGTATTGTGAAATAATTATGTAGATTATATTGACAAAGATAGTGGTGAAAAAGGAGTTGTGAAGGGGAACTTGTTATTCAAGACACAAGGTAACCATTATTAATGTGTTGTGATGAGTGTGTTTGTGAATGGTTATGTGTTGTTTTGTTGTTTGGAAAAATTATGAATTATTGAAAATAAATACTGTATATACTTGTTTGAAATTATTGCCAAGTGGGTTAAAAATTTATTTTTGTTTATCATGATGAGATATTATTGTTCGGATATATTCCTGTTTGGATATTTGAATGATGCATGACTTGTCAGGGTATTTTAATGTATGGTGTTAATGGGAATTTCTGTTCGGTTAATTATTACCACGTGGTAAGCCCTCATTGGACCCAATGAGTGGCGTGTCGCTTGGTCCAACTCACCTTTGGCCGGGTGATTTGGCGTCCGAGCATGGTGAAAGGAGGATATAAGGTGCAGTCATGCAATTAAATACTTGTTCGGTTTGTTTGAAAATATTGTTCGGTTAAATGTTTTGTGTGCCCACTTAGCAATCGCATGATTAGTTACATCCGCATGCATCATTACATATTAATTTTTGGTTACTGAGACTTTTAAGTCTCATTCCCCGTGGTTAATATTTTTACAGGAGCGAATCCGGCCGAGAAAGCACCAGAGGTGTAATTATGGTGTATGAGACACCATCTTTTACGTTGCCTCTTATTTTGGATTATACAATGTATCTTGTGCCAACTTAGGACATATCTTGTCTATGGAGCATGTAAACTCTAATCCTTTTTATTAAATGCATTTATATGTCCAAGAGGATTATGTCTGTCCCTTTTGATTCATGACCTAATTTAAATAACATGCTATGAGGATCATGTCTGTCCCTCATGGTTCTAATTGCTTTTTGAGATATTTTAAGACCTGTGGTACATTGTCTTGGATGTATCATGGTAGAAATTTTTCTACCATGATAAGGGTATGATAAGGGTTCAATGAAAAAAAAAAAATGATTTCTTGAATTAATAACTTGCGAAAAATTGGTTTGTAAATTTGAGGGTGTTACAGAATCACTTATCCAAAAGTTAAGATGTTTGGTAAAAATATTTTTCTAGAAAAAAATTACCTTTTTAAATAATCAAACTATTAAAATTTATGATATGAATGATTTTTTATTATGATATAATTCAATCTCATTGATATACAAATTTTGACAATTGAACATTATTAATGTATTGATATATTTATTTATTATGATTATCAATTGAAATAATTAAACAGTAAATTTAATAAACAAGTAATAGAGTTTATTATGTTGAACAAAACCTTAGATTTCAATTATGTATGTAAATTATTTAATGTTTATAAGGATGATAAAATTTTTATCAATTTAGTAATAATTTATATTGAAAAGAAAATTGCTAAAATAAATATTTTAGACATAATAACTAATAATTTTTATATCATGAAAATTTGATCAACAAGACTTAATATATATATATATATATATATATTGTTATGTAAGCATAAAATTGAATATAAATATGTATATTGAAATATTTATATTATGCCGGTGACATATGTATATATAACTTTTTTTAAATTATTACACATATTTTGTCATCTCGGCTTCTCTTAATAAAATTCTTTAACTCCACCCTTTCGCACAGTGCCGATGAAGCATTCATGATTAATGAATTTCCCTCAAATTTGAAACTTCTACTTCATAGACATGTTTAATTTAACGACGTTGAGCGAAAGCATAAGCAACATTTCTTAATTTTCAATGATGATTTCACTCAAACAAGTTAATTCCTAAGCGAAGAGTACAAACATTGTGCTTTTTGATAAATGGTTAGAGATAATCACATTTAAGGACTTCTCCGAAAAAAAAAAGAGAGAAGAATGTGCAGATAATGACTAACGCAAGTTATTATTCAGAAAGAAAAGCGCATGTTACCATTTTCGTCTCAGTTATTGCCTGCGAATGGTTCTCCTGAATGGTCTTTAGATGTAATTTTTTCTAATGGTTAATTTATATCATTATTAAAATTTTGGATGGTACGTGTTGTTTCCAGCTTTTAGTTATCTTTAAACAATTTTTACATATCTCCATGCAAATTGCAAATGCACGGATATGAAATTAATTTTAATAAGGGGAATAAAATAGTTCAAATTAAATATTCTCCTTTTCAAGAGCCTAAAATATATATATTTTTTAATCTGATTGAATGAAGGTATTCAAAATCGAGATAATACTAAAAAGTAAATAAAATAAAGAAGCAAGGCTAAGATTACCGCTTATTAATTATCGTAAAGCAGACTTGGCTCAACTATCAACAGGCTTCCGAGAGTGGAGACTTGTTTCAACTCGATCCAAGAGGTTATTGGTTGGTTGAGTGTGAGTGAAAAACAAAAGTCAAACTTTTTCCAGTATTAACAAAATACCATATTGTTTACCAAAAAAAAAAACTTCACTTATTTAAAAAATAATTAGACTCCTCACGAAGCTGAAAGGTGAAATAAACAATTAGTTTTGAACTTTTTGAAAGCTGTAATTATTAGTGTTTTTGAATTTGATTCATCAGAGAGATACACCTGATGTACCCATTGGATGGGTATAAAAGGGGGTTAAGGGATACAAAAAATTAAGGAATTTTTTTATTTTGTTTTATTTTTTATTTTTAAAACTATCTTCCAAACTATTTTTTATAATTTTTTTAAAACAAAAAATATGTTTGATTAGGTTAAATTAAAAATTGGTCCATAGTAGTGGTCATTGTGATTTATAGCATTGACCTAGGATGGTGGTTATCCATAATTAAAGGGTATTTTATATTTTATATTAATCAAATATAATGTGTTTTTTAAATAAAAAAAATTTATAAGATGTTTGCATTTAAAAAAAAGAGAATAATTTTAAAAATATTTAAATTTAAAACCCTTACTGGTTACTAAAACAAGTTTTTATTCTTTATTTTAAAAAATATAAAAAATTAAAAATAAAAATCAAATATGTCCTGAGTCGTTTTTCTGTTTATAGACTAAAATCAAACCCTGAGAAAATATAAGCGTTTTTAGAACTCAAATTGTATTATTAGAATCTGGAAAGAGTTACGGCACGCTGTTACCCGCCGCCTTGATTCACCACGTCCATCATAATTAAGAATGGAGAAATTAGAAAGAGGAATCTAATACTATTAAAATTTATTTAAAAATATTGTAAAAATGAAAATTAAGATAAAGGACTAAAGTAAGCGTAATTAATTATTATAACCATAGCATAAATTGCGCCAGCCTTAAAATTAACATAAGGTACTGCCCAAGTTATAAAAGTACCATTTTGAAAATAAATTTCGTAGCTTTCAATTTCACACCCAAAAATAAAATGCAGTATTAAATTTAATTAAAACAGTATAATTTAAAAATATTTAATTTTAAATAATTGAATCATTATAATTATTTTAAAATCTTTACTTTTAAAAATTAAATTAATATGATTTTATAAAGTCTTTACTTTTGAAATAATTATTCAATTTGCCAAAAATGCGGTGTCTCGATATCTGAACTCGTGGATTTTTAAAGTAGATGAGATTATTAACTTGTTGCAGTTCTCGGATATTAATTTAGCTTTGTGTTTGTTTGTTGTTTTTCATCTCTGTTACAAAAAAAAAAAAATCCCACAGATGATATGTTTTTGTTTAGAAAATGTCGAATATAATGCGTGAGGTGTGGTTAGAAAATGATTAGGGATAATATAATATCTTTAAAATAATATTTTGATATCTGATCCTTCTAGATAATAATCATTTTTAATACCTTCTTAAATGAATATTATTTTTTCAAGGTCGTTCGTTATAATTTCCCCAGCTGTGATCCCTTGACAATATTTGGCATTCTGGGTATGAGCGTTCAATTTGTATCCATTTTAATTAATTCAATTTAATCTCAATCATATTGGGATGAATTTTATTTTGACCTAAAAGCAATCCGGGTAGAAGTTTGTGAGACAAGAAGATAAAGGGTTTTAAGATGGGATGGGACAGGATATGAAATTGCCTCTAGGACAATCTTATTCCATCCTAGATGTTATATAGATATATATTATTTTTAATATTAATAATTTTAACGACACAGTAAGTATATAGGGTAATGTCTTTTTTTATAATATATTAATTATATTAATATAATTTATTCTTATATCTACCTATTTAATAATTTTTATTTATATTGTATTTTTTGCTTTATTTTTGAAAAATCACTGACTTAACATATTTTAATTAAAGAAAAATAATAATAATTTGATATTATGTTGGACTTGTCTATTGTTGTTGCTCTTGTAACCTAAATATTATTTGCAATTGTTATCGTAATGCATTATGTTTCATATATAATTGACTTTAAGCTCTACATTTGTAATTGTAATTGATGTAATTCAATAATTGTTGTAATTCACATACTTGTGCTGTTTAGGTTTTAAATTTAATAAGTTATGTAATTTAAAATTTTAATTAATGAATGTTATTATTAAAGCTTTTCTTCTATGCTATTTGTTTTATCGTGACGGTGAGACTTGCTAGTTCCATCCCATTTTCTAATAAGATGGGACAACTTTCAAGATAGAATCTAGAGCTCAAGCTTATACTTGTCATCGAGGTAAAAAAAAAAGGCAGTGGATGCTTGTTCTTATCAAGTAGACCTATTGTTATTTGGGATTATACATAGAGAAAATGACTGAAAAATATTTTTGAAATATCTAAATAATAGTCAAGTGTAGTAAAATGTAGTGCTTGTTTGACAACTTGTTTTGAAAAGAATTTTTTTGTTCTTAAAAAAAAATTTGATAACTTATTTTTAAAAAGTATTTTAAAGAATAAAAAATTAAATATTATTTTGGAGCATAAAAAAACAGAAACATTTTGTAGTTGTTTTGAGATTATTGTTCTAAAAAAAAATTTATTATTTTTTTATTTTCGAACATGTTCTACAAAATATCAATTCTTTAAATAATAAAATTAAACAATTTCAAATAGATTGTTAGTAATTATTTTCCAACTTTTAGGGGGCGGGCTTGTATGTTAATTAATTTTAATGTAAAAGTACTATTTTACCTCTCTAAAAAAATTTCAACGAATGCATTCTTCCTGTTCTTCTCTCTTGATATTCTTCCTTTTCTTCTTTGCAGGTGAGATAAAAATTTACAACCACCAATACAAAAACAAAGCGCGTGGAATATTTTCAAAGCAATGCTTGAGGCCGCACCTAAACCTCTCTTTGGTTTTCATGTCACCATTGTCGTCGATAGGACGTGTATTCGAGGACTAGAGCACGAGAGCCCCTGGCTCCTCATAGTCTCGTCTTGAAAAATCATTTTGTGCCAACCTGATTTTTTTTCTTGCAATTGAGACGCCGCATTGGATTGAAGACTTAGGAAAGTGAAATCTCTAACCAAAATTCATACACTCGGTCATGGATGATGAATTGCTTGAGTTGCAAAGACAATTGGAGACTGGAGTTCACACAGCAGGCAAATTCGAATATTCGATCATCGAAGTGAAATGACATTGAATTGGTTTAGAAATTAGAGGAGCTTCGTATCATTGATTTCGACCTTCTTCACACTGTTTCTAGCAAAGAACACGTCACTCCTGTACACTCTGTTACCTTTCACCGTCACTTTGCATCCATGGAGTTTGTTGGGAGGAATCCAATGAAGGGAATTTTGTTTGTCTTCCATAATTAACTCCATTTTAGTATTTTACTATTTTTGATCGGTGGAAAAACAAAATGCTGAAAAGATATAGCACTTTATCTGTCTTGCCTTCAGGCTTGCCGATTCACGATTAAATTTTAGGACAAAGTTATAAATTTGATCATAAATTATTTTTTTAAGAACATTAAGTAGCTTATATTATGAAGTGATGTAAAATAATTTTTTAACTTTTAAAAATGAAGCATTTAGTGCCTATCATTGATTTCATT